AGGCAATTTCCTCTTTTCAAACCTCTTTCAGATCCAATGGATCTGATCTAGGGCTGGGCGATATTGCCTAAAATCAATATGACGGTATATTTAGGATTTCACCTGGATAACGATAAATGGACGATAACTACATAAAATGTACAAAAACAATGGGCTGTCATGTGTCATGGTTTGGGGAAGGTGCCTAACCCAAGACATGCAGAATCAAGAACCCGTACACAGATTGATGGAAAAAATAACATGATTTTATTTAATAATGAGAACTGAGGACGCGCTGGGAATTCCAGCGGATCAGGAGAATGGGAAACAGCGTCTGGAGGGAGAGCAAACCAGAGGTGAGTCCTGGGAGAACAGTCTAGGCAGGATATGCTGAGAGGAGACTTTCGGAGGAGGATTGGGTTTGGGAAATGAGGGGAGCTTGAGAGCCAGGGTGGATCCAGAGGGGAGATGTTCAGAGCTGGAGAGGGAGCTTTGGGTCGAGAGAGAGAGCAAGTTGGTCAGAGGAATGATGATGAACGTGACTGAGCGAGTGGTCCAGGAGTCCTATGGGAGTTAGAGCGAGTAATTCCAGGTGTGCAGAGAACCTGAGGTGGGTAGGCCAAAATCACGAGATAAAAAAAAACGCACTTGAGTATTTCTAAGAGAAAACCTGAGGACTAGAGCGAAGGCTGGAAACTACCGAGTCGTAGTAATCATCCGGCGTCAAGCTGTGTTCACCATCTCCTTAAGTAGTCGACCAGCTAATCAGCTGATCTGGTGCAGCTGCCACTCCCTCTCCTGCAAACACACTCAGAGATATTTAGTGAGCAAGTACTCACCCCATCTCAGGCTGGAAGTCAGAGCATGGTGCGTCCCACTCCAGGGTGAAGGGAAAACTTGCCAGTATGAGCTCAGTGGATCACCTTACTCCTAACGACTTGTGGTACATACAGTCTGCCTGGGGGACCATGACCGGGACCGGGGTCATTCTTGTGGGCCTCCAACACCTGGCCCCTTATGTCCCAGGTGACTCCTCCCACTATACATGCCGGGCGAAGGATGGTGGAGGGTTCAGCCTCTTGGTCGGGAGCATACTGTCTGGACAGGGCGTCGGGCTTGGTATTTTTCGAACCTGGGCGATAGGAGATTTGGAAATTAGAGAAAAACAAAGACCACCTGTATTGACGAGGGTTGAGTCTTATTGCCTCCTTCAGATAAACCAGGTTTTTGTGGTCCGTCCAAATGATGAATGGCTTCCCCGCTCCCTCCAACCAATGTCGCCACTCCTCGATGGCGAACTTAACAGCGAGCAGCTCCCTATCCCCGACGTCGTACCGGCTCTCAGCTGGCGTTAATTGTCGGGAGAAAAAAGCACATATGTGGAGTCGATGATCAGAGGGAGATACCTGGGACAGTACCACTCCAACCCCTGTGTCGGAGGCATCCACCTCGAGAGTAAACTGCTGCTGGGGATCTGGTCAATGAAGCGCGGGAGCGTTGGTGAACCTCCTCTTGAGAGCCTGGAAAGCAGCGTCTGCTTGAGGGGACCAGATGAAAGGCTTATTGACAGAGGTGAGGTTAGTCAATGGGGCGGCGGTTTGACTGTAATTTCTGATGAATCAGCGGTAGAAATTTGCAAACCCCAGGAACATCTGTAACTGTTTTTGGGTGGTTGGTGTGGGCCAGTCGGTGACTGCTTGCACCTTTTCTGGATCTGCCTTCAACCGCCTGCTCTCTATTATGAATCCATGGAACCTGACAGTGGGGACGTGAAAAACACACTTTTCTGCGTTGACATAACGTCTGTTCTCTAATAAACGCTGAAATACAGCATGAACATGATGATGTGTTGGCTCAAAGTCTTAGAAAATATTAAAATGTTGTCCAGGTAAACTGTCACAAACTTATTGAGGTAATCTCCCAAAACCCGAGTTTACAAGTGACTGAAGAACTGCTGGGGCGTTCGTTAATCCAAAGGGCATTACTCAAAATGTCCAAAGGGGGTCTTAAAAGCCATTTTCCACTCATCCCCTTGTCTGATCCATACCAGATGATAAGCATTCCTGAGATCCAATTGACTGAAAATGGTAGCATCCTGGATGGGTTCAAACGTGGAGGTGAGTAATGGCAAAGGATGCTTGTTTTTTACCGTGATCTGATTCAAACCCCTGTAATCAATACAAGGCCTGAGAGTCCCTTCCTTCCTTTGGAACAAAAAAGAAACCAGCTCCCAGAGGTGACAAGGATGGTCGTATGGTACCAGCAGCCAGGGAATCCTGGATGTATCTCCATACTTTCTTCCTCTGGCTTGGAGAGATGATATAATCGGCTGGAAGGAAGGGGAGCTCCTGGCAACAGATCAATACAGCAGTCAAAAGGTCTGTGTGGTGGTAAAGATGATGCACGGTCCTTACTAAAAACCTGTTTCAGATCATGGTAGGTGGGAGGAACTATAGAGAGATCGATGTTCTCCACAGGAAGGGTTGTGGGACCGGAGAGAGTCGGAGAGGCCAAGCGGAAGCAACGTTCAGAGCATTCTGGACTCCAGCCATCAATCTTGTTTCTTCTCCAGTCTATCTGTGGGTTGTGGAGGACCAGCCGGGAATGTCCAAGCACGAATGGAGACTGAGGAGAAGGAAAAACGTAAAAGGCCAGGGATTCATTGTGGTTACCTGATACCTTTAGACGGAATAGTACGATGAGTAATGGTGGAGAGGTTCCGATCGTCGAGAGGACACAGAGAGAGGTGTAGTTAAACGAGTGGTGGGTATTTTCCATCTTTCCACCAGGCTGGGATCCAGCATGGACTGCTCACAGCCAGAGTCCAGGAGGGCTTTGAGTTGAATCTGCTCAGAGTTAAAAAACGCAGTGCACGGAAGAGAACACCGGGAACTTGCAGGATCTGAATTGCTGCCCACCAATAGTCCCGGTTTTACTGGTGGGCTCTGCATTTTAACAGTAGGGGGCAGTTTCTAGCAAAATGTCCAGACTACCCACAGTACATGCACAAACCTGACTTTATACAATGTCTCTCTTCCTGCATGAGGCGAGTCCTTCCCATCTGCATAGGTTCCTCTGTTGAAGGGGTATTTGCTGAGGAACGACTGTTAGTGCCAAGTAACTGATCTTGAGTGGGTGGTGAACTAGACCTGGGGCTCGCTCTCAGCTTCTGGTGTCTCTTGTCTATTGATATGGCCAAACAAATAAGCTCCTCCAAGGATCGGGACTAAGGGCAAAACGCCAGTTGGTTCCGGACCCGTTCGTTTAGAGCTTCTGTGAAAACAGTGATTAAGGCGTCTTCATTCCATTATGTCCTCGCTGCTAAGATACGAAAATCCAAAGCCATGTCTGCCACCGATCTTTTTCCCTGTGACAGGGTCCAAAGTCTTTTCCTAATGTCCGACAAAGACTCAACAGTTCCAAAAGGTTAATTTGAAGTCCAATAAAAAATCGTCATAGGAACCAGTTAAAAATGTATCACAGTGGCTTTTAGCTTCAGCCCATTTTAGAGCTTTTCCTCTCAGGAGACCAACCATATGAAAACTTGACGTTATCGGAGGAAAAAGCTCCAGGTGACCACTCAAAAGCAAGTCTGCATTGGAGTAGAAAACTGTGACAGTCATCAAACTCACCGCTGAACGTAACTGATGGCGGAGATGCTGCGAGACGGAAGTGGGTGACATCCGCAGGACCAATGACTTCCGGACCGGGGGAAACGGGTGCTGCTGGAGTGGCTAACAAGGGTTCCGCTGACGGAGAGGGTTGTTGATGTTGGGACAACCCTTCGTGTATCTGCTGAACCAGAGCCTCCAGTTGTTGGTATCGGTTGTTTGCTGTGGCAATTTGCTCCATGAGCAGTGGTAGAGTCTGCTCCTGTTGGATGAGCCTGTGGGTGAGATCTGTGAGGGTTGTATCTGCAGGGTTAGCGGTTTGGCCGGATGTCTAACCCAAGACATGCAGAATCACGAACCCGTACACAGATTGATGGAAAAAATAACATGATTTTATTTAATAATAAGAACTGAGGACGCGCTGGGAATTCCAGCGGATCAGGAGAACGGGAAACAGCGTCTGGAGGGAGAGTAAACCAGAGGTGAGTCCTGGGAGAACAGTCTAGGCAGGATATGCTGAGAGGAGACTTACGGAGGAGGATTGGGTTTGGGAAATGAGGGGAGCTTGAGAGCCGGGGTGGATCCAGAGGGGAGATGTTCAGAGCTGGAGAGGGAACGTTGGGTCGAGAGAGAGCAGGTCGGTCAGAAAGGATGATGATGAACGTGACTGAGCGAGGGGTCCAGGAGTCCTATGGGAGTTGAGCGAGTAATTCCAGGTGTGCAGAGAACCTGAGGTGGGTAGGCCAAAAATACAAAAATCACGAGATCAAAAAACACACTAGAGTATTTCCAAGAGAAAACCTGAGGACTAGAGCGAAGGCTGGGAACTACCGAGTCGTAGTAATCATCCGGCGTCGAGCTGTGTTCACCATCTCCTTAAGTAGTCGACCAGCTAATCAGCTGATTTGGTGCAGCTGCCGCTCCCTCTCCTGCAAACACACTCGGAGATGTTTAGTGAGAGCGAGTACTCACCCCGGCTCACGATATGTGTATTACGTTGAGTCACGTTGTCATGTGACTTGAGGTGGTACAGCTTCTTAAAGGGAAATAAACGTCGCCAACCGACACGCATCTTTCCATTTTTACATTACTGAATTTATTGACATGGGAAAATTATATCGATTAGAGTTTGAAATTTTGATAACGACAACTTGTTTTATTGCCCAGCACTAATCTGATCTAAAATGACTAATAAAGAGGCTTTTCAAAGTAAAGTTTTTTTATTCAATCAAAATAAATGTGAACTTTTTTGCACTAACCTAGCAGTTGTCCTGTAAATATCATGTTTTTCAAGCTTCTATAATTAAGATGTTTATATTTTTATAAAGTAGATTTAAAAGAGAGAAACTGAGAATATTTCAGACTTATTTGTGTGTGTGTGTGTGTGTGTGTGTGTGTGTTTCCGTCCAGGTGAAGCTCTACAGACACATCTCCCCTGACCACCTGTTGCAGGTGTGCTCCAGGGTCTGCCCGCTGCTGGAGGGGGATGTCCCAGCCAGCGTTCCCGGACTCACCAGCCTTTTGGGAGCCGGCCGCCAGAACCTCCTCCGCACCAGCAAGAGTGAGTGGATGAACACGGGAGCTGGTTGAATTCATGTTCGCAGACAAAGTCGTTCATCATTCTCATCTTCTTCTTCCAGGCTGCAAACATGTGGTGTGGAAGGGTTCGGCGCTGGCCGCGCTGCACTGTGGACGACCTCCGGAGCCGCCCATCATTTATGGCAGCCCTCCCAATATCGGTAACGGATAACCGACTTGGATATAAAGCCCTCCTGCTGTATGATTGTTTATTTATATAATTCCTGCGTCCAGTTGAGACGTGTTTCAGCCGCCGACTGAACGGCTCCTACCGCCTGCGGCAGCTGGTGCCCACAGCCGTGTACCAACACATGAAGATGCACAAGAGGATCCTGGGACATCTGTCGTCTGTGTACTGTGTGACCTTCGACCGGACGGGGCGGCGCATCTTCACAGTAAGAGCCGCATGTTTTGACCCCAGTGCTGTTGAAGCAGCCTGTTTTTGGTCATTTCGAGGTATCTAAAGGTGAAAACACCTGTTACAGCCCTGCTGGGAGCTAATTACGGTTCTCAGCGAGTCACAATTTTGGGGAAATAATTGTGTTTTAGTTTAAGAGAAGGAGGAAGCTGAACTTTAGCCTGTAGGTGTTCTTTGTGTGTGTTTTTAGAAACCTACGTGTTTGCTGTTTGACACCATTTCAGCATCTTAAATCACTAAAAGTGGATCTCCGCTGGGATGGGAGCAGGCGTAGATGGACTCTGTTTCCATCGTCCTGTTGCTGCTCCTTTCTCTCCTACTTGCTGTTTCCCGTCGTAACGTGAGGAAACGTTTCCTCTGAGGGACTGGCTAAGTGCCGGAATTAAAATTCTTCTTTTCTCTTTTACTTCCACCTCCCTCTTCGCTCTCTTTCTCTGCTCATTATTCTCCTGCTGTCCCTTTTCATCACAAGACGAGGTTTATTTATATATTTATTTGCCTATTTTTGGATCTCTTCAGTCCTGCTCGGGCTTTGCTGCAGCTCCGTGTTGATTGAAGGATTGTGTGCAGCAGCAGCAGCAGAAACGTTCACTCTGGTCATCGCATGCAGCTCATGTCGTATGACTTAAACAGTCGGTTCACTGGAAGCCTGATTTATTTGGGTAACGGTGCTCAGAAATCAGATGTTTGAACGTGGCGCATGAGGACGAGTCTGTGGGGCGACAGCAGATAAAATCACTGCTGTTTGTCTTTGTAAAAAATCATTTAGGGAGATAATTTGTTCCGAGTCATAATTTGTCTTAAAACACTTTGTGCTTTGGGTCAGTCGGCGTAAAAGTAACGGCTCTGCTGCCACTCTGGTCTGCTGACGTCTAAAATATGAGCAACACACTTCCACATAAAATCACAAACATCTATTTTTACGGGAATCAGATCAGATCTTATTAAAATAAATAGTTTTAATATTCTTGGTATTTATGGTAAGATCATGGTTTATTAAATCCAGAATAGCACAACACAGAAACTCCAGCTGGACTCGGGATCACATAATCCATGTTTCAAAGAGCGGCTGCACAATATATCTCAAATGTATTGTTATCGCGATATCAGCATGCGCAATATGCATATCGCAATGAATGGTCGGCTCAAATGTTTGCTGCACGACATTAGGAAAACCCGCGATATGCGATAACAATGGTTAAGATTGCGATAACGATATTACTTGCGAGAAATAAAAACTTCACTCCGGAACAAAAAATGATCAAAGACAAAAAAAAAATTCATAAAAAAGATGTGACGAAAGGAAAAAAGAAAATGAACAAGAAAAGGCAATCGGTGGATCCCGGGAAAAGCAGAATCAGCAGATCAAAGCTAACGCAGGTGTTTGCTAACCATCAAAATTAAGTGTCGGGGGCGGGCATCTAACCTATGAGAACCCACCCAATTGACCAAATGGGTAAAGAGCTTTATTTGATTTGTTAAAGAAACGTCGTGCTTCTGTTGGACAGAATGCGTTATGTGTAGCAAACATTTGAGCTGACCATTCGTTGCGATATTTATCTGTTCTTTGCGACATGCGTATTGCGCATGCTGATATCTGGATAACGACATATTTGCGATATATTGTGCAGCCCCACTACACATAATGCATTCTGTCAATCAAACAGAAGCATAATGTTGTTTTGTTTGAATCATAAAGATTGTTCATTTTTTTCCTAAATTGTGCTTTTACAGACTTGTGTGTGTGTGTGTTGGGGGGGGGGGTCTTCCTGTTGCGTTTTGAGTACTATTTAGAGATCCCAAAACATTTTAACCCCCCAGTGAGATGGACCGCAGCCAGACGTCCTCAGCTGCGTCCCCTAAAGGAGACTTTCATGTCTGCAGTGAGCTCTTGATCTCCAGGAATGTTGTAGGAACGTGCTGCAGGCTGAATCACGCAGTTTTAAAAGCTGCATTATCATTTTATTCAATTTCCTTCAGCACTGTTTTTATTTTTGCTGTTGTGCCGGACGCCACCGAAGAAGTCCGCTTGTCTGATCTTGGCCTTTAGCGGGAAATGTCAGCAGTTTCTGCCACCAGTGAGACGTCTTCAGACATCTGCATCAGCCTCAGAGCTCTGCTCGGTTTTATTCAATCAGAAACGCATCAGATGTTTGAGAAGGTTTATTACTGATGAAGTGTTTACCGTCCTCACCGACCAGGATACATTTTCTTCCACGAAGGGCAAACATCCCTTCAGTAGAAGATGACAAACATTCGTTTCCCTTGGCTCTTTCATCCTTTACAGATGTTTAACTTTATTCTAGAGCAGCCCTTTTCCTCTGTTTGATATTATTTAGTCCCAATTTGACAAACCCATTGAACACCCCTTTAAGCCATCTGAAGTGTTTACTCACCAATAATCATCATTTTAGCAAGCGTGCTAATGGACCCACCGTCTTGTGAAATGTAAATGAGTCCATTTATTTCCGATCTCATTCCCTCCTCTGTTAAATTCTCTGTTATTGGTCCGAACCTGTGGAGCTCTCAGGTTTAGTTGGTTTAACTGGTTTCATATTGTTCCTCTCTGTCCTTCCCAGGGCTCTGACGACTGTCTGGTGAAGATCTGGGGTACCGACGATGGCCGCCTGCTGGCGACTCTGCGCGGACACGCCGCAGAGATTTCCGACATGGCTGTCAGCTATGAGAACACAATGATCGCCGCCGGCTCCTGCGACAAAACCATCCGGGTGTGGTGCTTGCAAACCTGCGCCCCTTTGGCTGTCCTGGAGGGACACGCAGCCTCCATCACCTCACTGCAGGTATGGAGGACTATTCGGGCCATTATTTTATCGAACACTCGACTATCCTAATAACTAATTAGACGATTAATCTAATGATTATTTTTCTGTTGCGTGATTAATAGAAACCAGAAAATCTCAAATACCCCAAAAAATGTGCTGAATTGGTTCTGTAACACAATAAAGACGACAGGCTTTCCGTTTTGTAGAACACTGCTTTTACTGGGTTGTCTTCTGGTGACATGGAGAACTTGGGAGTGCAGGCTGCCTGAGAGGTGGTTGGAGACAGAGTTTTGTTCTCCATGCTGCGTTGTTTTTGTCACTCGTGTGTGTGAGATTTAAAAGTTAAAATGATGGCCAGGCCCGTGACTTTCAGTCATGGTTGAAACATAGCTCCAAGAACCGACGTCTTTTCTGGCCGTGACATCATCTCATTTGGACGTTAACAACAAAAATTTAGGCTTCTTATTACTGTATTACTGTAAAATTAAATATATCATTACTGTAACAAAATACCATTAGTGGAATAAACAAACATTTCCGGATGCCATCTGAATAGAAAGCTCATATGTCCTTGCCTGGATTTGAACCTGGAACCTGTAAGGTAGATGCTATTCCAGTGGAGCGACGTCTTTAGCATGCACATGAAGTCACCTAGCCGTGGATGTACACTTCAACTGATTCACAACATGCTAAATGTTAAACTACACGTAACTTATTGTCAAAATAACAATTGTACCTGTAACTGTAGACATGTACAAATACATCTGAATGGATTTTTAGGAAATTTTCTGTTACAAATGTTTTAACAAATTTAAGACGTCTGACCGCGACCATTTTTGGCCATGGACCCCGAATTACCTTTGTGACTATTGTTTGCTGTTAGCGCCAACCGGCGCGGCCAGGTTTGTGTTGCTTAGCCGGGCGCTTGAGGCTATCGTGAAAACTAAGTCCCATCCTAGAGCACAGTACTGACACGCGATTGGTCCGGCCCATTTTAGGCTGGAAGTCAGAAGGTTTGAACTGCCCCCATCCACACTCACCACTGTGATCTTTATAAACTGGTGGGCTGGCCCTCCCTTCGCACCCGGAGACTCCAGCCCTGGTTTCTCTTTGTCTACGAGACAATTTTAGGCAAGACACCTCTCTATCTGTCCTCGCTTCTTCACCTCACCCATAATAAATATCACAGTAGGTCTAGTAAATATATTAAACTCATCATCCCCAACACCTCTACAGGCTTTGGCTGCAAATCCTTCCACTAACAGCAGCATATGACTGGAACAATTTACAAAACACCCTTAAACTTGTATGTTCTTTTATTTTTCAGACCCAGATTCAAAATTTTCTAATGCCTTTTGATAACCTATTATGTCTGATCTGTTATGTACTTTTCTGTATTTTTGTTGTTGTATTTTTTAAATTATTATTATTTTTTTAATTTTTGTTTTATTTATTGTTTCTACTTCCTTCTAAGACCTCTTGGCAAGGTCATGTTTGTAAATGAGAACATGTTCTCAAACATTTTTCCAGGTAAAATAAAGGTTGAAGAAAAAAAAACTGGAGCGGTACAAGATGAAATCTCACGAGATTTGGAATTCTCCAAATCTCGTGAGAATTCATCTTGCAGCGCAAGGTTAGAAATTTCCCAAACTTCACCAAATGATGATTTTTTTTAAATATTTGCACCTGCATATTTTGCACCCTATCTAGACCAATCACCTGAACGTTTTGCTACCCTTTCATCTGTTCACCTATTCTGATCTAAGAGTTTTAGATACTTGATTGAGTTGCTCGCCATTTCCAGCTGTAACCTCTAATTGGTTATGTTTGCAGTTTTCTCCCCTCTGTAGTGGCTCCAAGCGCTACCTGTCCTCCACCGGCGCCGACGGCACCATCTGCTTCTGGCAGTGGGACGCTCACACTCTCAAGTTCGGGTGAGAAAAACACACAAAGCTCCACTTTCACACATTTTGCATCATGGATCCTGCCAGCATGTCATTACTTTTGTCCGTTACCAAGTGAAATTAATACAATTGTGAAATCTATCTTATTTTTGATCACTTATATTTGGCCATAATGGTATTTTATTATGTATTTTGCTTCTGTTTTGTGTGTGTGTGTGTGTGTTCAGTCAAAGGCCCAGTAAATTCACAGAGCGATCCAGACCTGGAGTCCAAATGATCTGCTCCTCCTTCAGTGCAGGTAAACACAAGTCTCCTTTATTTCTAAGTTCAATAATCACCAATAAAAGGGTTTGTTTTGGAAAGGTGAGTCAGATCAGGACAGTCCCTTCCCATGAGCCTCTGGGAGGAATCAAATGTAGGAGGGGGCACAGAATTGAACCAAAACAAGATTAAAACTAGCTATAAACAGAGCAGGACGTAAACGTGAAAGGGAACCCCTCACACTAACCTAATCAACCACCTTTACTGTTTATCCTCAGCAGACAACAGGGCTCACATGTAAAAGTCTACATACATGTAGATAAAATAAATCTCGTATTCTATTACTTTCCTTTCATCGTTTTGATCAGATGATCCAGACCAGACTGTGACTACTGAGCTACTGCAGAAAGACAGAGTGAGACATAATCTTGTTGATTACCCCACACACACACACACACACACACACACACACACACCCGAACGAGCATTACTACCACATGACTGCTAACTGGTTACGCCTGATCGGCTCTTTTTCTTTTTGGATCACATCAACCATTAACTGCAGCTCATTTATAACCAAAACCAAAGGAAAACGAATGTGCACGTACAACTGGTTTTAACCGTATGATGTTCTGGTCAACTGGAGCACAATCTAGTCCCTATATGGTTTATTTAGAAAGGTACTATACCGGTGCTTATTTCAGTTCTTACTCTAATTGAAGACAAGTACTTTCTCTTATAAAGATTACTTTTATAGATGTTTGTTTATGTACTTAGCAGACGCTTTTGTCCAAAGCGTTTTACAAGTGATAATCGGCATGTTGCCCTTGAGGCTAACAACAACAATAACAACAACTTGACGTCAGTCATGGACAGGAGGGAACAAGGAGTGGACAGTAGAGGGGGGACGGGTGCAGGGGGGGTGCTAGAGTAGAAGATGCTCTCTGAAGAGCAGGGTTTTAAGCAGTTTCTTGAAAGTCGAAAAGGAAGCCGCTGTTCTGGTAGTGCTTGGAAGGTCATTCCACATTTGTGGAACGATGCATGAGAAGAGTCTGGAATGTCCTGAGCGTGGTGTAGGCACTGCTAGCCGACGATCCTGTGATGACCGGAGCGGCCGGGCCGAGACGTAAGCCTTTGCAGGAGGATTCAGGTAGATGGGAGCCGTACCGTCTCGGACTTTGTATGCTAGTGTTAGCAATTTGAATTTGATGCGTGTTGCTAGCGGTAGCCAGTGGAGCTCAATGAACAGAGGGGTGACATGTGCTCTTTTTGGTTGATTGAAGACCAGACACGCTGGTGCGTTCTGGACCATTTGAAGAGGTCTCACAGTACAGCCTGGAAGACCAGTTAGAAGGGCATTGCAGTAATCGAGGCGCCTAGATAGATGATATTCGGGAGCATTTTTTTCCAAATATCTTGAAATGCTCTTCACATACTGATAGCAACCAATAAATTAAACATTTTGTCAAATTTTTTAAATTTTAATCATGGAGATGAAGTTCATTGTGCCTCAGTAGATATACTGATGTATAGTGTGGGAATTTCTTTTCACCTGCCAAGAGTTTGGGCTTCTCACTGAGGCCTTCCTCATGGGCTGTCATCTGCGAGATTGAGGTGTGCCTTTATGTGGGAGAGGTGAGTGGAGTTTTTAGGTCCATGAACACTCCCACATGTGCTTGATGGTGTGGCGTCGGTCGAGGACTGTATCCTAGGTTCTTGAGAGTCCATATTAGGGATACGTACCGTATTTGATACTTTTTAAGGCACCGACCGAATTCCGTGGACCGATTCAGGTGATATGAAACGGTGCCCTGTTTCGGTACCTTATAGACTTCTGTACCTGATTTCCCAAGATGCAGCGCATACGCTAGCGTGCTATGTTGTCTGTCGCTGCAGGCCAACTGTAAACAGAGCAAGCAGCTTGGTAGAAAGAACACTCTCTAAAGTTTGGGTCCACTTTACTAAATGCGATTGGCGACTGGGTGATGATGACATCAACAACGTTCTAAGTGATGGTCTTAATCAGCTCCAGCAGGTAATTAAACTATTTAAGATAACGTTAGCTGATACTTAAGCTTCCGTTGCTATCAGATAGTAGTGCTTTGGCTTCCCCCGTCGAAACCATCGACATATATACTGGACAATGGGTTTCCATAGGCTCCAATAACAAGTTTTTGTGCTAAAATGGGAGGTGGCCACCACCGCCATTTTGACCGTGTCACAGGTTTCGTCAATTCCAGACAATTCCACAAAAGGGAAGAGAGGAGGAGCTGAGGGTGGGGCTGTAAGGCCGGGATCAACTGACGACACCCGGTCGAACTAGCTACAAGCTAACCTGAAGCTAACCCAAAGCATTAAAGGTGCCAATGGCAGGTTGAATTTGTTAAACCTCAGGGAACAAGCATTGTGCATTCCTGTAGTCTTAGGTGAAGGGGGTTGGACCTTTGGATTGTGTATTTTCAAAAAGTAGCTTGTTGAACATCAAGAAAAACATCTACTGCATCAATCTGATGTGTCTTCCTTGTGTCCAGGTGGGATGTTCCTCTCCACGGGAAGCACTGATCACATCATCAGGGTTTACTACTTTGGATCAGGTCAACCAGAGAAAATCTCCGAACTAGAATCCCACACGGTGAGTCGACGTGAACCATCGTCACAACTTATATATTTGCATCCATGTTTCAAAAGATCCATTAAAGTCAGGTGTGACTTCCATCAGAACTGAACGCTCGCATCTTAAAAGCAACAAAATAAAATCTAAAACTAGGGCTGCAACAGCGAATCTGTAAAATCAATTAAAATCGATGAAGAAATGCATTGGCAACTTTTTTTTGTGTCTCGCAACCTTTATTTATCAGTCAAGGCACACATCTCATCTATAGGCGGCAGCAGAGCAGACCGAGGCAGATCAGAACAAAAGAGAAAGCCGGTGTTTTGATGAGGAATGACGCACTTAGAACATGGCAGAAGCAGAAAGACCTAAGAAAATAAAAACTTCAAAAGTTTGAGAGCACCTGCAGCATGTGTAAATCAGACACGGCGTGACACGGGAGTGCGACGGTGATGATGCAGCATCTAAACGCAAGCATGTCTGAGCCATCAACGAGGAAGGGGAGAGAGAGCTCCGTGTTCGGCTCAATTGAGGAAAACTATGTTAATTTTTATGGAGTAATACACCCCTAGGCCTGGATTAACCGTAAGCCAGGGCTGTGCATATAAGTCGCACGTGCGATGAACAAAACCAGAGGTGTGGACTCAAGTCACATGACTTGGACTCAAGTCAAAATTTTAATAACTTCTGACTTGACTTCATAAAAACCTATAAAGACTTATGACTTGACTCGGACTTGCATCTGTTGACTTGATGACTTGAGCATATTTGATATTTTAGCACAAAGTGGCACGACATGGACAAAAATCATAAATCATCCTTGGTTGTGGGTTTGATCTTGTTCTGTAGCACTTTGTTTATAATCAAGTTCAGTTGCACTTTCTGCTCGTTTGAGCAAATAAATGAAGCTTTAAGAAGTTTTATTTCTGGAATTTATTCATTGTCAAAGTTTCGTCACTAAATTGAAGTTGGACAGATGACTTTATTATGACTTGAAAATTCAAAGTTAAAGGCTTGGACTTGACTTGAACTTCCACAACATTGACTTTGGACTCGACTTAGTTGTCTTTGACTTGGACTTGACTGGAAAGACTTGTGACTTACTTGTGACTTGCAAAGCAGTGACTTGGTCATGCCTCTGGAAAAAAACTGTGCGACAAACAATTTTTAGACGTAGCACTCGTGTGACATCTTTTCAAGTAACTTTTCCCCCCAGAACTTTACAGAACAAATGAATGTTGCTTGTTATTGTGTATGGAAGATGCTTTTTACTGGTGCACAGCGTGCTAATCTAGGTGCTGTGGAGGAAAACAGAGAAACCAGCAAAGATGCAAAGGCAGAAACGGTCCAAAGTTTTGTATCAAAAGTGTAACTACAGGCAGATTAGCTAATGCTAGCCGGTAGCAGGTTCACGATGAAGTGGGTTCCAAACAAACATGATGGTTGTGAAACTAAGAATATCTAAACTCTACAAGTGGAAGAAAAGTCCTCATCATTCTGTTTATTAGCTGTCTGCAGCGCTATGGAGCAGAGCCGCTGCATTCAAGTTCGAGTCTGCTCTGCTCAACACCGCTGCAGGATTATGGCAAGCCACCGTAGTATGTAATTCACACGTGTCTATCTTTAAACATAATTTAAACTGGATTATTGCTAACCCGTACATAATAGATATGTCACCATTGAATTTTTAGCAGGAGAAATTAAATGTTGAATGAAATACATTGAATTTTATTGATCATAGTTTAACTATGGATATATTTAGGTGATAGCATGCTTTTTTTTCGTTTTTCATGCTATTAAACTGTTTTCTAATCATGTTCTGTTGTTAAATAATGTAAAGGAAGGCGAGAAAAAAAATTTCCCAGCAGTTTTAAATTTTCCTGTTTAATCTGATTAATTGATTAATCGAGTCGAGACCCCATCAGATTAATCGATGGTCAAATAATCGTTTGTTGCAGCCCTATCTAAAACACAGAGTGAATTGATCTTGAACTTGTCTTTAGAGACAGACACTATAATTGTGACGGCTACGTGGGCAGCAGAAACGGGCCCGTGTGTTCATTTGTCACGTTGTTTCTGTACAGGACAAAGTCGACAGCATCCAATTTTCCCATTGCAGTGACAGGTGAGTTGACATAGGGTATTTTTTCTTTTGTGTGTGTGTGTGTGTGTGTGTGTGTGTGTGTGTGTGTGTGTGTGTGTGTGTGTGTGTGTGTGTGTGTGTGTGTGTGTGTGTGTGTGTGTGTGTGTGTGTGTGTGTGTGTGTGTGTGTGTGTGTGGCTACATTAGTAAGACTATGGGATTTTTTTAGTATGTGCAACACTGTGTGTGCACTGGCTTTAATGGAACCTCTGGGTGCCACGAGCTGATGGTGTCAGCAGAAACACCACCTTTAGTTAATGTCTGATACATGCTCTAATACACAGTCTCTCTTTCTCTCTCTCTCTCTCTCACACACACACACACACACACACACACACACACACACATGCTCACACAATGTGTGCTCTGAGTGTTGAACCCTGAATGTGTCTGGATGGAGTTAGCAGAAAAACATGCTCAGCTGTTATTCCCCAGGGTTGCTGTAATCTAAGCACTGAGAAAGACAGACTAAGTGTGCAGAAAGTGAACAGAAATTAGTGTATGCTGCACAAAGCTGCTGTGTTATTATATATAAAGGCTATTTGCATTACTTTGTGCTTTAAAACCTGTTTGTGATGTAGGTTTGTAAGCGGCAGCAGAGATGGCACAGCTCGGATCTGGCAGCTGCAGCCTCAGGGCTGGAAGAGCATCCTGCTGGACATGCAGACCAAATTACCCGGGTATGTGTGAGCCGATGGTCGGCAAAGGGAGTTCAAACAGACCTTGTTGTCCTCAGCAGACTCAGTTTTTCTATGATGCAGCTGTGTTTTTTTTACTCTTAATGTAAAACGTGAAGGAAAAGACTCCTGCACTTGCAACACATCCTATACAAAGTTTCAAAGAAATCATCCACATTTTGCTTTTCAGTGGTTAGAAAAGCAACAACAGGATGTGTTTTTTTATGTTTATTTGGCAGATAGTTAACCTATAGGGCATGTTGTGATCTGTGGGGGAAACCGGAGTACCCGGAGGAAACCCATACATGCATGAGGAGAACATGCAACTCGTCGCAGAAAGGCCACGGCCGAGTTTTAAACCTGCAGCCTTCTTGCTGCAAGGCAAAGTTTTGATTTATATCTGCAAACTTATTACCTTTGGTCAACCTGATGATATAGAGATACACCAACAGTTGGGTGATGATCAGAAATGACCGATATTTGCGTAATAAATCACTGATTAAACATCTAAACTCATCAAATGTTTTCTCTCATTAGTTTGTGAATGCACCATTGCCAAGCAGCAACATAAAAATCGGACATTGTTCCCCGTCCATGAACTCACCGCTGTTGGCCACTAATCTACGCTAGCAATAACAGACTTTTATGTGCAAGTTTTGATAAAAAAAATGTGTTGATTCTCTTTCCTTCAGATAAATGATCATCAGCAGATCAGACAGACAAGAATCAGAAATTGGTATCGGTTCTCCAAATCAGAATTGGCCCATCTTTTGATGTTCAGACATTCGTCTAACGCTCTGGCATGACAAGTGTGTGTGTGGTATCCAAGGAATGTTGAAGTTCACAGAGAATATTTCTGCCTCTGTTAGAACCGCTGGCGCTAAACTTTCTATGAACGTCTCCATTCTGTCAGCTGAGCCTGAACATGTTTTTATTTGGAGCATAAATGAGCTCACAGTTAGATTCAGAGTCCATCAAAAGTCAACAGTCCTCGGTCCTCGACGCATTCTGTTACCAAAAGTTGCAAATTCAATTCAATTCAATACTTTATTAATCCCAGAGGGAAATTGATTTAATCCCAGAGGGAAATTGATTTGAAATTCTGCCCACCCAATCCAGATCTCCGGATAGCGACTCGACACAAAAGGTTTAATTCAACATCACTGAAACATTGTTTAAGTTTAGAAGAACTTCATGTTTCTTGGTTAACCAGACAAAATATCTGAGTTTCTGATGGAAAGTGATGTTTTTCCACAGCAAGCTTTTATATTTATTATCAATCTGTATCTAGGAAGGTTCTGGCATCAGATTAGATCTTTAGAGAAATAAATCCCAGACTTAGCTGAACTTTCGGTTATTCACTTCATTAACTCTTGTCTCTGGCTTGTCTGTAGGAAGTACAACCCCCCTCCGCTGGAGGACAAGGTGACGAAGTTGAAGGTTACCATGGTGGCGTGGGATCGCCATGACAGCACCGTGATCACAGCAGCCAATAACCTGACGCTGAAGGTGTGGAACTCCCTCACCGGGACCTTGGTCCACGTCCTGTTGGTGCGTCCCCACGCTGGAGCTCTTAAACACGTCGTCTCAGTTTGTCCTACTGGGACAGCCGTGCTTTAGTCTTCTTGCTGTTTGCTGACAGGGTCACGAGGATGAGGTGTTCGTCCTGGAACCACATCCGTTTGATCCAAGGATCCTGTTCTCGGCCGGGCACGATGGGAATTGTATTGTGTGGGATTTGGCTAGGGGGGCCAAGATCCGATCTTACTTCAACATGGTTAGTGTCTCCTCGTGTCCGCGAGACGATAGTTTCTGTTTCTGCTTTGTTGTTCACAACGAAACACCGTCCAGATTCCTGTAACGGCTCTCATGTCTGACGTGTGCTTCGCGTTGAGAGTTTTTAGTGTTTGTTTCACACGTTCCCTTCTCATTCCTTCACTTTTGATGGACATTCTTTCTCCTTCACCCACCTCTGCTCCTCCTCTCTGCTCTCACTACTGTTTCTGCCCCGTCGGGACACACACACACACCAGTCCAGAAGACACTGAACACACTCATCTAGCATGTTAATCATTGTTGTCCTGCACTCGTTTCCGTGGTAACCAAGGGAGTTAATCAAAGACTTTGAGTTCATGAGTCACTGAGGGAAGAGGTCGTTGGGCTTTTTCCTCTCAGGCTGCTGTTTCTGTCGGTTCTGGATTTTTCAGGCTCACTTTTTCGTTTTTTAATCTTCATTTTTTAAATTATGGTCTTTTCTATCATTATTTTTCATTTTTATAGTTCTTGTGAAGCGCCTCATGATTTTTATTACAAAATCTGTTCTTCTTCACAGTTTGGTGTTGGTCCAGATTTCAGTTGGTTCTGGAGCTCAGACACACACACACACACACACACACACACACACACACACACACACACACACACACACACACACACACACACACACTTGTATTTATGTGTTTGTGTGGACATTCATTTTAGTGACTCCGCTATGTCGAACCCATACCCTAACTCGAACCCTAACCAATGGGGTTCTATTCCTAACCCTAATCTAAACTAAAAGCTAATTCACACCATACCTCTAAAACCAAGGTTTAGGGTGCTTAGCATTGTGTGGACCAGCTAAATGTCCTCACAGTGCAGGTTAAAGTTAAAGTGTGTCCACTTAAACCTATAATGACAGGTACACACACACACACACACACACACCAGAACAAAGTAGACATATGAGACATAGAGCGTGACCAGAAAGGATTCAGAGAGGACGTGATTTAGCTGAACACCTCTAACATGAGTGCTTCTTTTCTTAGAGGACGGTTGTTTTGACTCTGACATCATGACTTCCTTCCGGTTCTCACGCCGAGCCTCCGGTCTACTAATGTTCCGGTCATTTTAGCACAAAAAGGAACAAACTGAAGATACATAGAAACAGTGTTTCTGAAACCTTTTTCTTTGTCATGTGTAAGCTCTGCATTGTTTCCAGACGTCTTCATCCACTAAAATACTAAAACAATGAGCTGGTTTCTTTAGGTCCATGCAACAGAAAAATAAACTATTTAAAATTTAACATCTTCTGAATAGATTTTCTGTTTGACCAGTTTGTCGTTGTTTGACTTCTATAATCCGAGTTTTCTGCAGATGAATGCAAAAATACGTGTCCCCTATAATTTGTTTCTTATTATTACAGTTCTAAGGGCTAAGACTGATTTCTGAGTCCTGCTGATTTCACAGCTCTAAATAACAGACTTTGTTTCAGGGTTGTCACGGTGTGAAAATGTAACCGCACGGTTATTGTGACCAAAATTATCACGCTTTTTGGTATTTTAGCGGTATTTTTTTAAAGGTGTTACCTTTTCAGACAACTAAATAAACCCTGTATATCAGGAAAATGTGTCTAAATTTTGCCTAAAATGTGTTATTTTGTAATTATGTTGTTTATTTGTTTACATTTTTCCCCTTTAGTCTTTAAAATACCAATATTTGCCCATAACTTCTTATTTTTTGTCTGTTTGATGTCATCATTTTAAAAATATTAGATCAGATGATACTCAGTACTCAAGTAGCCTTCTAATCAGGTACTTTTTTACCCTTACTTGAATAATAAACCCTATATCAGGAAAATATTGTCCTCGGTTTGTGTCCTTCCAGTGAGCTTTGCAGATGTGGGAAAATGTCATCAGGCAGTAATCATTGTTAAATTCATAATTATTCTCGGAGAGAGACCAACTCTTATCTGCCCCTGGGAGCCCCGTAATGCATAGCGTCATTTCAACATGGGGGTGTCCGCGACACGGTTTATATGCAGGTAGCGGCGCTGCGGCTGCTTTATATAGCGACTCGTTGCATTCTCCCTCAACCCAAATCCTCGGATCACGAATTTTAGCTAAAACGCTAACTTGCCTTGCGTTGACTGTAGAGTTGTGGGTGATGGTCACGCAGATGTGTCATGAGATTTGAAGCGTTGCTGCCGTTCACAGACACTTTTTCTGCACGTGCTGCAAACAGGATAGCCGTCTTCTATCAACTGTCCCTCGGCATTCTTCAAATATCCAAAAGATGCCCGTACTTCCCACTTTGTCTTCTTTGAGGGATAATAAATGTCCTGAGCGCTGCCGTCTCCTCCTGTGGCCATTATTTCAGCTTTAGCTTCAAGAAAGTTTTGGTTGTAAACAACTAAGCGCGCGTGTGCCGCCGGCAACTTCAGCAGATGATACGGTGGCTGGTAAGGGTCACCGCGCCTACACCGCAGCCACGGTAAACCCACCGAGATGATATAGTTTTTTAAAAACAAGACGATTATTATTATTGTCAATTTTTTTTTACCGGGGTTTACCGCTGCACCGGTTACCGTGACAACCCTACTTTGTTTCATGTCGCCTGCAGCCGGATTCTTTTCTTCCTGTCTGTTCAACATGGGGTCAAAGGTCAGGATAGAGATGGTTCAGGGGTAGACAGCTGCATGACGCTCACCTGTCAATCAGAATCATTTATCTTTTTGATTTTCTACCAAAGTTTCAGTTTCTGCGCAGGAGACAAATTTAGAGGATTGGAGATTATTCAGCTTTCCTCACCGTCGTTCGTGACTCACTGGGACTTTTGTTGGGACTGAACCAGTGTTACTGGTCAAAGTGTTCTTTGTGTCCATTCTTGTGTGCATCTTTCTCCTGGTTGAGTTGTCCGTGTCTTCAAACTGTTGCAGCTCTCCTAAATGTCTCCTACTGACACTGATTTATCTGCCCCCCGCCGTGTGGACAGATCGAGGGTCAAGGACACGGCGCGTTATTCGACTGCAAATGCAGTCCTGATGGGCAGCACTTTGCAGCCACTGACTCCCATGGTCACCTGCTCATCTTTGGCTTTGGCTCCAGCAGCAAGTATGATAGGGTAAGCCAACACACACACACACACACACACACTCATGTAGTAACACTCCCTAAACCCATTTCAGATAGCGGATCAGATGTTCTTTCATACCGACTACCGGCCGCTGATCCGGGACGCCAACAACTACGTGCTGGACGAGCAGACCCAGCAGGCGCCGCACCTCATGCCCCCTCCTTTCCTGGTGGACGTGGACGGGAACCCTCACCCCCCAAGATACCAGAGACTGGTGCCAGGGAGGGCAGGCTGCAGGGATGAGCAGCTGATTCCTCAGATGGGCGTCACTTCCTCAGGTACGCTGGCTGAGCTCCAACATTTTTTGTAATGTTCTAAAAGCACAAATCACAGTTCTGCTTCGCCCTCGTCTGCTCTAGCTCTTCTGGTCAGCTTGGAGGTGATAGTGTTGTCTTCTCGCTTATCACAGCTCATCGGTGGTGATCAGAAAGCTTTCAGAGAGCGTAACGAGAGGTTTTTAATGAAGCCAAATAAAATCAGTCTTAATAAAGACGGTTTAAAATAAACGCATAGACAGAAACGGTCAACAGATGATGGGAAACCTCAGTAGGATACAGTCAAGTTCTGTTTCCTATGAGTTAATGATGGTGTGACTTTTCTCTGCCTGTCAGGCCTGAACCAGGTGGTGAGTGAGCAGGCGGTGGATGGTTCCAGTCCGCTGGACACCATGATCCAGAGGCTTCAGCAGGAGCAGGACCAGAGGCTGGGGGCCAGTGACGCTTCTGCTGCAGCAAACACCAGGTCCAGCAGAGGTAGCGCTCATGGAGTTCATCTCATAGTAATTATTACATCCGTGGCAAGGATACGGAGCCTTGTCTTCACTGACATTTCTGTCTGTAGGATCTGTTGGGTCGCCCACAGAAGTACACTCCCCTCCTAACGTCGGCCTCCGACGCAGCGGGCAGATCGAAGGAGTCCGCCAGATGCACAGCAACGCCCCTCGCAGCCAGATGGCCACAGAGGGAGACCTGGTGGCCTGGAGCCGCAGGGTGCTGGTCCCTGAGCTGGAGGACGCCTTTGTCAGGTAACCCCCCCCCTTTCAACATTTACCTCCAAAACCAGAGAAGATGTCACTCACGAGCCTTCTGCTCTGTTCAGGAGACAGGTGACCTGGCGCGAGGCTAAAGGAGAGGAGGAGATCAACATTTATCAGTCAGAGAGGAGGAGACGCACTCTTCACTCACTCCCCAAGGAGAGCAGGGTACAGGAGTCCCACCCGTTCCAGGACGCAGCATCTTGTAAACATGCCGTTACACTCGCCACTCTCTCTCTCTCTGCTTACGAAGGCTCATCCAACGCCAGAGAGCGCCGTCGACGAGGGGAGGAGGAGTCAGGGGAACCACGGTTACCAGACCCGTGCCGCCATGGAGGAGACGAGCCGTCAGAGCGCTGAGGCTGCAGACGATGACGAAAGCACCTCAGAGGTAGGCGGAAGATCCCCATCTTTTTCATTTGTCCTTTTTAGTACGATTTTTAAATGCATTATTTTTTATTTATTTATTGTGTTTGTTTTTATTTCTAGGGAGAAGCGGAGGTACGGCAGATTAATGGATACTCATCGGAGGAAGAAAAGGAGGAGGAGGAGAAGGAGCCCTGGCCGGATGACCACAGCAGTTCCAGGTATTCCCCATTTACCCGAACACACACTTCTCCTCTCTTTGCTGATGTTTTAGGGAGACTCCTTCAGCCGTTCCATAAAATAAGTGTTTTCTGCTCTTTTCTGTCGCAGCGACTACTCCAGCGATTACTCCGACTGGACGGCCGACGCGGGGATCAATCTGGAACCCCCCAAGAAGAGCGTGAAAGTCAAGAAGAAGAGCAGCGGCTCTGAGGAGGATGGAGAGAAGAAGAGGGAGGGGAAGAAAGAGAAGAAGAAAGACAAAGCAGACAAAGATGGTTCACCGCCAAAGAAGAAAATGCCAAAGGAGAAGAGGAAGGTTTGTCTCATCATTAATTTGTATTTCCTGCAGGATCGGGACGTTTCTGAAGCGGCGTTTGTGTTTCAGAGGGCTGAGTTTGAGGAGGAGGGGCTAACCTTGGAGGAATGGCTTCCCTCTGCCTGGATCACAGACACGATCCCCCGGAGGTGTCCCTACATTCCTCAGATGGGAGACGAGGTATACACACCATCACAGCGTCGTCATCTCGAGTGTGTTTCATATTTCCAAAAGTTTGCTCCCAGACCAGATGTTTCATTGTGGTTTAACACCTCAGACACGTAGAACACGAGACAAACTGTTCTCCTAGAGGTTTTTTAAAGGCACAACCTGCAGTTCAAGCCCGTCCACGGATGTCTCTGTCTGCAGTTGTACTACTTCCGCCAGGGTCACGAAGCGTACGTGGAAATGGCCAAGCAAAAAAAGATCTTCAGCATCAATCCCAAGAAACAGCCCTGGCACAAGATGGAGCTACGGGTGAGACGATGGTTCTGATCCGATTGAAATGTCTCTCCTTCTGATCTTTGCTTCCTTTGGCTGTGAGGCTGACACGTCTCGTTAAAAAAAGGTCCACGAGGAAAATATTAAGATAAAAGTTTCTGGAAATTGCTGCAAATATTTATTTTTACTGGTGTCAAACATCTCAAAGGCTTCCTGCTGTTCCTCCTGCATCACAAACGGATGCTGTCCATGTTAAAATATCATTCTAGACTAGAACATAAAAGTACACATGGAAAAATAAAGATTAGGGTTCCGGTTTTACATCAGAAGGAAAAGGTTTAACATCGTCTTTATCTTTTATCCGTTTACTTTCAGCAGTCAGAACATAGCAGGAAAATGGCTTTTTCCTTCAACTCGACACAAAACTAAAAACACACATTACTGTTAGCTGGGGTCTTGGATTCTATTCACAATCTAGAGGACTCGAGACCTGTAGAAAACACCAAAGATTTGGAGTTTTAACGCTGTTTTACTTCATTTGGCCAAATGCAGCATGTTTTCTAGTTCTTCTAAAAGGTGTTGGTGTTTTTTTCTGATTTCTGTGTAATGTTCATGTCACTCAGGAACAAGAGTTGATGAAGATCGTTGGCATCAAGTATGAGGTGGGCTTGCCCACGCTGTGCTGCCTGAAACTGGCTTTTTTGGACCCCGACTCGGGGAAGCTAACAGGGGGCTCCTTCTCTATGAAGTAAGTGATGGCCTGCACCGTGAGGTTAAAAATAATTCATACTCAAGTTGGAACACTAAATCCTGCTGCTACTGAGAAGCAGACGTTAGCTACTGATGAACTAACACCGTAAATGTGACTGGTGTGTGAAACCGCCTCCTTGCAGATACCACGACATGCCGGATGTTATCGACTTCCTTGTGCTGCGGCAGCAGTTTGACAATGCTCGTAGGAGGCAGTGGGCTATAGGTCAGATCTGGTCCCTTCACCATGAGCAGCACTAAATATTAAACCTCTTCTCTGGTAAAACGCTATAGTGTGTGTGTGTGTGTGTGTGTGTACAGGTGACAGGTTTCGGTCAGTGATTGATGATGCCTGGTGGTTTGGGACCATTGAGAGCCAAGAGCCCTACCAGAACCAGTACCCTGACAGCTTGTTCCAGTGCTACAACGTCTGGTACGACCACAGCTCGGCTCCGGTCTGAATCACAGTAACCAGTCTCAGTAGTATTTGATCTAAGGAGATTTGTTACCTTCAACTCTGATTGAAAAATGTCTCCCTCAGTAAAGCCGGGCGTGCACTGTGCCACTTTTTCACTTTTTTGAGCCGATTTTCCACTCGTGCGAGAATCCACGAGATCGGGGCGAGTTTTGCGCCGAGCGGTCGTGTAGTGTACAGGGGGTTACGAGAGGCGATTAACACCACGTGACCAGCTACCGATCAGCAATCGTGAGCTTGCACGGTCTTCTGGCGTGTTTGATATTTTGCTCGTTCCTCGTGAGGGTATCGCACTGACCCAAAAAGTACCAGAACCGCTCACGGCGCATGCGCAATCCTGCATCAACACTGCTATTTCCCTAATAACACACGTTGTTTGTTTTAATTTCTACACGTTTTTTTACTCACAAAGATTGTCAAGAAAGCGTGTTTGTCGTGTTCATGTCAAATTAAACTGATCACAAAACACAGATTTACTTTCTTTATTTCGTTTTCCTCGTCCAACCCCCATAAACCCCTGTGTGTCCTCCTGCAGCACTCCCGAAGGACAACAGGCAAAACAAGACAAAAAAGTCTGACGTGTTGTGTAAAAACTGCTATTTTTAGCATATTTTTTAGGGCCGACGTGTTGCTACCAGACGTACAATGTGAGCTGATGACTCGTGAGATCTGACCTGCGAGGATGTCGTACAGTTTGAGCTGAAGCTGAGTGCTACGAGTGAAAAAGTCACGCAGTGTCCGCCCGGCTTAAAACCGGTTCTCCCTGCGATGAGTAAAGACACCCAGTTGGGGGAAAATATGCAAATGTGTCTTTTGGAGTTATACTGAATTTGTGTGTATCACACAGTCACGGCCGGTTTTGTTCACGGCTGGCTAATTTAATGTATTTGCAAACAAACTGTGATACTCGTCGATTTGGGCGCTAACTTCACCAAAGATGTCTTGACATTTCGTTAACGTCCTGACTCGTTTGGCCCGTTTCCGCAAAAGGAACTTCCAGACCTTCAGGTTATGTCTCCTTTTCACCGGCCGGCCGAAAGGACTGCTGTCTGGACCAACCAAGTACCTGCCTTGGGGAACTCAGAGATGTCCCTGTAGAGTTGCTTGGCGGGATTTTTGTTTGACTCGTTCTGATTGGTTGTAACTCGGTCGATACTACTTTAAATTCAGTGTTTTGAAAATTTCAACACTGAAAAATACTGCAGAAAGCCCCCCAACACTTCACTGCTTCTTACATCGCACAGCTGTTCTCCCAGCCCCCCCGAGTGGATCCCATTACGGCGACACTTTGACAGATTAAAACTGAGATGGGGAATTGTGGCATCAACAGGTGATTTTCTTCAGTTCAGCAACTAAACCAGATGATTTCAATCGGCACAGTGAACGAACCTGGTTCAGTTGCTGAACAGAACAAAATCATGGCATGGAGATGACTTGTTGGCGCCACAATTCCCATCTCTGTTAATAATGTCCATCACTCACTGTTGAGACCGTTGCGATGGGCTGACGTCTTAGCAAAGTCCTGAAAGGGACAATTTCGTAAGAAGACACGACGGCTGAGAGGACCAAAGTATCCCAGATCTCCTTCAGTGGAAAATCAGCTGATGAAGTAAAACAAGCCAGTCTGAAATGGGTTCCAGACTCACTAAACGACGCGTTACCATTCTGAGAGACAATCTTGTCTTGCAGTGATACGAGGGAAACGAGAACCCTCACCAATGTTAAAGCCTTTCTGGAGACGCTGTTCGGGTTCTGTGGCCTTTTCAGTTTCTGACTTTAGAGAAAGGACGAGTTGCTTCAGATGTAATGATGATGTGTTTCCCACACAGCTGGGACAACGGAGACACAGAGAAGATGAGTCCTTGGGACATGGAGCCCATTCCTGATGATGGTATGTATCTAACATGCTCTCACGTTCAAACCTGTCTAAAAACAACCTTCCCATTGTGTTTTCGTTCCTGCGCGCTTCAGCCACGTTCCCCGACGAGCTGGGCACCAGCGTCCCGCTGACGGAGGAGGAGCAGAAGCAGCTGCTGTATGTTCCCCAGGATGGAGAGTGGGGCTGCCACACACGCGCAGAAGAGTGCGATCGCATCATCAAAGCCATCGACCAGCTCTGTACTCTGGGTATGATGTCATCAAACCCATTTAAACATACTGGTTTAATGCTTAAACCAGAACCACAGTTCTCTTATAGACATGAATCAGCTTGTACTACATCACTGAGGTCTGTGTTTGTTTTCCTATTAAATGATGGGATGTCACATCAAACTGACTTTGCTGCAATAAACAAGTGTAGAAATGTTGGAGTGCGCTCTCTAGTGGCGGCTGGTGGAATAAACAGAACGCACCTTTCCACCCTTTTTAGGTTTTTGTCCTCCTGGTTTCACTTTAGTTTGACTGACATCATTTTTTCTGTGTTTGTATTTGAAACCGAACCTCCTCCTTCAGATGTGGCGGCGCCTTTTGCTTTCCCAGTAGACCTCCAAGCCTACCCCACTTACTGCACGGTTGTGGCCTACGTCACTGACCTCAGCACGATACGCCAAAGGCTAGTGAATCACTTCTACAGGTACTTTGCCCGTGGCTGCACTAGACAGTGTGTGTGTGTGTGTGTGATGGACAGTTAACACACGTGCCTGATTATTTCTGTTTCAGGCGGCTGTCCTCTCTGATGTGGGAGGTACGTTACATCGAACACAACGCCCAGACGTTCAACGAGCCAGGATCGTTCATCGTCACCACCGCCAAGTTTGTCTCTGACCTCATGCTGGCGTTTACCAAGTACGCTTGAGTATCGTAACCTCCCCGTTTCACGTGTTGACTTTTAGGGGAAATGTGAAGAGAGTATGATACGGTTGCATTCCCCCCACAGGGACCAAAGCCTGATGGACCTCATGCCTCTCTACAAAGCTATGAAGAAGGCAACCTTCTCAGACTCAGAAGACGAGGTAATTTAGTGTAAATATTAAACAGGAAGTTACTGGTACCAGTATTGTTCATCTGTCTAGTTTAAATCTCAGTTTTAAAGGGATACTTTGCAATTTTTCATATTTTTAATTCATATTCTTTTTATTTTTTTAACTCGTTTTTTATTGTTTTCAAGAACAACAATAACAACAACATACAATTCCCAGAACCCGTGGTGTCAGTGAGGTTTCACTCCTTTTTTTCCTCTCCAGTGTGGCCAGTTGTGTCCGTTAATTAGTGGTGTCCTCATGTGTATGGAATGTTGTCCATTTTTCGTCCAGTTCCTCCTGTTTCAGTTTCAGTTTGCAAGTCAATCTTTCCATGCTGTATATCTCCTTCGAAATGTCCTCCCAGATCTTCACCGTTGGTGGTTCTTCCTTCCTCCATTTCCTTGTTATCCCCTTCTTTGCAGCTGCTAATAAGATTTTGACCAGGTATCTGTCTTCATTTGTCAGATTGCATAAATAGTACTTTCCAAAGGTCAAAGGTATCTTGTAGCCTAACATCCCCCCTGCTGTACTTTCTATATCTTTCCAATACTTGTTTAATTTAGCACAGTCCCAGAACATAGGATAACGATTACCGTATTTTCACGACCATAAGGCGCACCTAAAAGTCTTAAATTTTCTCCAAAATGTACGCGGTGCGCCTATTGTGTTGTTGTGAGACGCGAACGTAGTAGAAGACGAGGGGCGTGGCGTGAACGTGCGGACGTGAGCGAAGACAGACCCCCGAATAGTTCAAAAGGGCAGGTATGCTGAACATTGTTCTGCCAACCCTGAGAATGGCACCTGCTAAGAGACACGCCTATGACGCACAGTTTAAACTGCAAGCGATCAGCTACACGGAGAAACACGGGAATAGAGCAGCGGCAAGAGAATTCAGCATTGAGTCCGTGGTTCGCAAGTGGAGGAAGTTGGAAAACGAACTCCGACAAGTAAAGAAGACACAGCTGTGTTTCCGCGGGCACAAAGCCAGGTGGCCTGAGCTGGAAGACCGCCTCGAGCAATGGGTTAACGAGCAGAGGACAGCTGGGAGAAGTGTCTCTACCGTCACCATTCGTCTGAGAGCAGTAACGCTCGCACAAGAAATGAACATCGAACATTTTCAAGGAGGTCCGTCTTGTTTTACTGTGCCCGCGCCCTATAACCCGATGCGCCTTTTGTATGTGTTAAATACCAAAAAGACACCCGTAACTGAAGCTGCGCCCTATAACAAGGTGCTCCCTATGGTCCTAAAAATATGGTACCTGTTTCTTTTCCACGTTTCCTCCAACAAATTTGTTGAATACTAGAATATTTGTTTGGCATCGATGGGGTTATAAAGAATTTAATCATATTTTTCCAGCAGAACATTCTCCACATCTTTGAACTAGATGAGGACTTCTGGACTTCACAAATGTTCCACCATTCATCGTCAGTCACCCATGTTCCACTTTCCTTAACCCACCTATCGCGCACATATAAAGATGATGTTCCCTTCTTCTCTCCCAACCCTTGATATAGTAATGAGACAATTTTTGGTTTATAGTTTATAGGCATTAGTTGCGTTTTCGACATATTAAGTTTATAGCCCGCTAGGTATTGAAACGTTTCTAGTTTTTCCATCAATTTAGGGAGGCAGGCATCTGGGTCTTTTATACTTATTATTTACATCATCTGCAAAAAACCCAATTTTGTGTCCTACTCCTTTAATATCGATTCCTTTTATATCCTCATCCTCTCTGATAGCCTGCGCTAGAGGTTCAATGTATAATGCGAATAGAATTGGTGATAAACAACAGCCCTGTCTGGTTGACCTCTCTAAACTAAACCAATCTGTAAGACTTCCATTTATTTTTATCCTGGCTTTGGGGTTTTGGTATAGTGTTTTTATTATTCCAGTTGATTTTGTATTAAATCCCATTTTTTCTAGGCTGAGATGTAGAAATTCCCAACTCACACTGTTAAATGCTTTTTCTGCATCTAAACTTAGTAACTTTGCTGACTCCTCTTTTAGTGTGCTGCTTCTATAATGTGGAGGGTTCTTCTTATATTGTCTTGGGTTTGACGGCCCTTTATGAAACCACATTGGTCTTCTTTTATAATATCTGATAAAAATTGGTTAATTCGTTTTGCTATTATTGTCGTGTAGATTTTGTAATCACTATTTAGAACTGATAGCGGCCTGTAGTTTTCACACAGTTCTTTATTCTTCCCTTCCTTTGGAAGAAGAGTAATTATATGCGAGAGGTCCCGGGTTCATATCCCGGACAAGCCCCCACATTATTACGTCCCCAGCTTTCTAGGAGTGACAAGATTGGGGGAGTGATAAAAATTGGTGTGTGGGTGAAATGATAACAAAGTGCTGTGTCGCTAAAACAGGATTTTATTGCAAAAAGGTATGCAGAAGGGTATTTACAACATCAATAGTAATACATATACACTAAGCTAAAGGAGATATTTACAAAGGGGGGAACGGAAAACGCCAACCCAGAAGGGGTTGGGAATTATCTGAAGAAAAATACTAATAAGAGCTGTCCTGAGAAGCAGGAAAGCTCAGGCAGATCCAAAGTCAAATTCTAAAGCCGGTCCGAAGTCGAGTTACCAAAAATCTAATCCTAATTCCAAATTTCCAAAAGCAAGTCAAATACCAAAGTCGAAACGAGTCTAATATGAAGCACACCAGGAGAATAGTATAAACTCTTCCGAGCCTATACTACCCTGGACCTTCTCAAAGAACTGTGGGCAGGAGAGCAGCCTTTAACAGCTGCCCCATGATTGCCCAATGACAGGCGAGGCAGAAGCCACCGAGGCCATCTTGTGGCCAAAAAGGGGCAGAGCACGTAAGACTTCTCTCCATGGGGGGGGGGGGGGGGTGTTTCCCTTTGTCAGTGTGTCATTAAATTATGCCAGCATCATTACTTTTAATTCTTCTCTAAAGGTCTTGTACCATTCTGGAGGAAAGCCGTCGCTTCCTGGGGACTTATTATTTTTTAATCTTTGATTGCTTCCTCCAGCTCTTTTTCTGTTATAATTTGAGTCATAATCTTGTTTTGCTCCTTCCCGATCGATGGGAGTCTCAGTGGACTCAGCAAATGTTTTATAGTTTCCCCTGTTGCAGATTCTGGTTGTGAATATAATTTTTTGTAATATTCTTAAATCATATTCTTGAGCCTAGCTAAAATGACCCTTTACAGGGTTAATGAAAGGCCACCCAGCCTCTCTGGTCACTTGCCACTTCAGACTGGCGAGCCGCTTTGTTGGGACTTTAAAAAATTGAGCCTTTACCAGGTGCTGCAGTCTGGTTCCAGCACGTTTCCACTATGTTTTAGATCATGAACACAGCTGATTTGTTAGTGATGAATCACTGCTGTAGACTCTATGGAAGGCTGGGAGACGTTTCAGCTGTTAGATTAAGGTGTTAAAAAGATGAACGCACATGCACAGCGAGGTACGTTTAGCTTTTAGTTCTACAAACGGACACTAGGGGGTGCTAAAAGCAAGCCAAAGCTGCCTTGTCTCCCTTTAAACAAGTTATTGTTTGTGAACACACCTCATTCATCCATGACTGGGGTTTGTTAAACATAAGTGATGGCTACACACGAACAGAAGGAAGATATCTAAAGAGACGATTATTTTATGACTTTTGTGAAGGCTGATAATATTTGTTTTTGATCCGAGACTAAAATTGAAAATATGAAAAACAAAACCTTTTTCATTGTATTTGCATCCGTTTTTCATGTTTTGATTTTTGGATTCCAGTTGAAAATGGAAAGCATGAATGATGCACAGATTCTAAAGAACATGCTGCTCACAGCATTTTCATTGGTCCTTGAGCTTACCTCTTATTTCTGATTGGGTGAGGATGTCCCAGCACAGAGTTGGTGCTGTATTACGACATGGCAGCTATAGCACAACAGAAAGTAAGTCAACATTCGAGATCGGGGTGCAGCCGACAAATCTAATACAACTGATTAACTTTTGGAGTCATGATATAAAGATGGCCAACCCAGCAAACGCAAAGATGGCTACAGTTCAGTCAGTTTTACAAACGTCAGGCTATAATTTACATGTTTGCTGCTGAGTTCAGAATTTCTGGTTGTTTTTTTTATTTATTTTTATTATAGGATGATGAGGAGGAGGCTGAATATACTAACACTCCTGGAACATCAACACAAAACCACAAGGTAAACTCCTTACCAACACCTTGACATGGTTCCAAACACAGAGACCACTCACTTACTTTGTATTATTATATTGTAGGGCCGTCCGCCCATTCAGCGCCAGTTAAGAAACCGCCCTCATTCGTATGACCCTCACGCATGGAAAGGGCGCTGTAAGGAGCTGCTGGATCTCATCTTTCAGTGTGAAGACTCTGAGCCCTTCAGAGAACCCGTGGACATACAGGAGTACCCGGTACTACTGAACTTTAGATTACAGCGGGAAGTTTCTGCTTCAGGGTTTTAATCCAGTCCTATAGAGCTCTTGACACACCTTGTTTTTCATTTCTCTCTGCTCCTCTAAGGACTACCTGCAGATAGTTGAGTCTCCGATGGACTTTGGTACGGTTCTGAAGAAGCTGACTGAAGGAAAGTACCAGTCTCCCATTCAGCTCTGCAAAGATGTCCGCCTCATTTTTAGTAATTCCAAAGCGTACACGCCCAGCAAAAAGTCACGGGTAAGAATCCACCTTCTCCCTTAAGGTTTGTACTACAGTGTTCCCCCTACATAATCTCAGGCGTGGTACTGCACCACGCCTGAGATTCTAGCGCCATGGCGATGAAATCAACCCCCGCTCTAACGGCCGACGCAGGGCACCAAAGTGTTCTGCGTGCTGTTACCCCTTCCTTGCTTTCTTGATGGCTAAATGGTTCGCGAATGTAACACTTCTCACTAGGGTTGTCACGGTAACTGGTGTAGCGGTAAACCCCGGTAAAACAGTTGACAATAATAATAACCATCTTGTTTTAAAAAAAAAATATCATCTCGGTGGGTTTACCGTGGCTGCGGTGTAGGCGCGGTGACCCTTACCATCCACCGTATCATCTGCTGAAGTTGCCGGCGGCACATGCGCACTTTGTTGTTTACAACCAAAACTTTCTTGAAGCTAAAGCTGAAATAATGGCCACAGGAGGAGATGGCAGCGCTCAGGACATTTATTATCCCTCAAAGAAGACAAAGTGGGAAGTACGGGCATGCTTTGGATGTTTGAATAATGCCGAGGGACAGTTGATAGAAGACGGCAATCCTGTTTGCAGCACGTGCAGAAAAAGTGTCTGTGAACGGCAGCAACGCTTCAAATCTCATGACACATCTGCGTGACCATCACCCGCAACTCTACAGTCGACGCAAGGCAAGCTAACGTTAGCGTTTTAGCTAAAATGCGTGATCCGAGGATTTGGGTTGAGGGAGAATGCAACGAGTCGCTATATAAAGCAGCCGCAGCGCCGCTACCTGCATATAAACCGTGTCGCGGACACGCCCATGTTGAAATGACGCTATGCATTACGGGGCTCCCAGGGGCAGATAAGAGTTGGTCTCTCTCCGAGAATAATTATGAATTTAACAATGATTACTGCCTGATGACATTTTCCCACATCTGCAAAGCTCACTGGAAGGACACAAACCGAGGGCGATATTTTCCTGATATAGGGTTTATTACTCAAGTAAGGGTAAAAAAGTACCTGATTAGAAGGCTACTTGAGTACTGAGTATCATCTGGTCTAATATTTTAAAAATGATGACATTAAACAGACAAAATAAGAAGTTATGCGCAAATATTAGTATTTTAAAGACTAAAGGAGAAAAATGTAAACAAATAAACAACACAATTACAAAATAACAGATTTTAGGCAAAATTTAGACACAAACTGAGGACAATATTTTCCTGGTATACAGGGTTTATTTTGAAAATGTAACACGTTTAAAAAAAATACCGCGATAATTTTGGTCACCGTGACGACCCTTCTTCTCACCCATATATATCAGAGAAATCACCCACAATGTACAAAAGCTTGCTACACCCCTGTGCGCACACATTCTCCGCCTCCTCCACCCCCTGCTCTCAGAGATGGAACACGGCAGCAGAGCGGTCCCGAGCGTGCACAACCCCCCACGGCCAACGCACGCCACCGAAACAGTTACACCCCGCGCACCACGGCTGGAAATTTTTCTAGGGGAAACACTGTACTATCGTCACTGTTTCCTGATAGCTTATGCCTCTCCAGATTTACAGCATGAGTCTGAGGCTTTCTGCGCTGTTTGAGGAGCACATCAGCCCCATCCTGTCAGATTATAAAGCCATCCATGGCATGACGGACAAACTGACCAGGCGAGGGACGGATAGGCTGAAACGGCACACTGCAGACAGACCAACGCGAAACACTGTAAAGAGGAGGAGGAGCGAATCACCCACCAGCAGCAACGCCTCCAGGTAGGAGTAGTGACTTTTTATTTGTGGATTTTGTAGCTCATAAAACTAAAAACCAGTATGACCATGACTACTCTGCTCGTAGCCCAGAGAGGAAAAGACGCGTCTCATCCAGGGTGATGGCCAAAAAGGAGCCTTCACCACCTCCTTCTCGGCCTCCTTCTCTGAGGCAGAGCATCCCTTTGAAACAGCCACCTCAGCTGGTCAACGGTAAAGCGGAAAGCTCGACTCCAGGACGTACTCGCAGTGCCGCACGCCACTTTAGACCCTCCTCCCCCTCGTCCAACAACGCTACCAACAACACACTGAACACCGGAGGTAAGATTAACTAATACTACTTAATTAAAATAGTTCAATGATGATTATAATTTTGTCTATTAATAGATGATTATTGAGCTCTTTATTGCATAGAGAAGCTCCAAAATGCAAAATGTTCTTGTTTAAATAAGTATTTGGAGAGTTGAAAGCATAATTTAGTAAGGATGCTCCGATCAGGTGTTTTCAAATTTAAAGATACTTTATTAATCCCAGAGGGAAATTAGAGTTTCAGTACACACAATTCTGAGATCAGACATACGTAGGCATAGACGCATGACAAGAATTGGTGACTGTGGTCATTTGTAACCCGAGTTGTGCTACCTTAATAGAGATCAGAGGGTTTACATGAGGATTGAGTCAGGTGGAGGAACAAAAGGCACTTCAGAGTTACCCTCCACAGGGAGGGCAGCTTTGCTCTGCAAAAAACACCTCAGACAAAAATGCAACATACTTCAGACATTATACAACATTAAGTGTCCACTAGGTGGGGAGGTAGGGTAGAGGACTCTCCACACATCAGTGCATGCAGCCACGATAAGCAGCGCCCATCACCTCCGTTTGGACAGGGAGGGAGGTTGTTTGGGTTTAGAGAGCACAGTGACTCCTGGAATGATTCAACGGCCTTCACCGATCGCAGTCCCTCCCAGGCTGGGATAGGGAGACAGAGTTGCCATGGCAACGGCAGCATTCTACATTTCTTCTGAGGGGGAGTTATCCCTTCAGCCTCACAGGCTCAAGGGCACCAGATTCAGATAAGAACTTGTTTTGGTGGCCAGACAGAGATAATTTCCTCTCTGTCTTAAAGTTCTGTTGGTCTCCAACCCCTCTAGATCCAATAATGGCGTAGTTAATCAATCCCAATCCGTGCTGATACGTCAACTCGCTCCTTGATCGAATCAACCTTCTGTGCCAGAGCCTGAATCTCAGCCAAAGTTCCAAGCTTACGACTCATCTCGACAATTATACGAGTTTGTGCGTTCACAGCACGGTGTAATCCATCCCTGAGCTCGGGGATTGAGCCAATATTCCTCGACAGCTCATTAATTTTCCAGTAAGCCAGAAAACCACCCAGGCCAAACAGCAAGAAACCTGACACCAACACCACGAATATCCAGACGTCTTCAGAATCCTCTACAGACAGTTGGGAGAGGCAGATCAGGTTCCACTGTTTCCAGGAGTCCATGATATGCCCAACTGGCTCAGAGGGGCAACCGGGAGCCCCCTCTCTCGTTCTCATCGTTGAAAAAATCTTGTCAATCACTTTTGGGCCATCGGAGCACCTCAGTTTGCTTCTTCTGGAGCTCAAACTTGGTCTGTATCGCGTCCAAGGACGGCCCAAAAAGATACTGAGAACCTGCATTGCTTAGAAGGCAGGGCCATGGAGCCATTCGCACCCAGATTGTGACGTTGCCAGGTATGCTGCTAGAGATGCTTTCATTGAGGGAAGACCAACCAGCCCAGCTTTTTCCGCACCCTTGAAGTCCACATAATGGGCGAAACCAGACACAGTAGTGCATGTGGACAGCGGCTTGTACCAGGAGGACGTTAGCTCAGTCACAAAATTCGGGATCATGGGCAGCCGGTTCTTAACCGCAGCTGGCTCTGATGGGAGAAAGAACCTTGCAAGTCTGGAGGCTTTCTGAGCCGGAGGAGGAGAGGACCACTCCACATCCAAATTTTCGGCAGCACGGTAGAAAAAATAAATAATGGAGAGGTCGTCCTGGGTTACCGGAGAAGCGGCAGTGGCGGTCAAAGCCGTACACTGAGCCGCTAACAAATCGTCATCTCCAGACATTACTCCAGTCATCCGTGTGGATGTCCAAAACGTTGTCGTCCTCATCCTCTGCGGGACTCCATTGTGAAGGGGCTAGGGATTGCTAAGTCCCTGTTAGCCCATCCATGAAGTCCATGAGATCTGCCAAGCTAGAAGCTGGGACTGTGACTGAGAAGCTGTCCTTGTCAGACTCAAACGAAGCCAGGTCTCTCAACTCTGAGAGCATAGGATCCTGTTTAGAGATGGCAGCCTCCCCAGGACCTTCAACAAGAACTTGACCCCGTGTTCCAGCATTGTGCGCCTAAGCTGTAGTGTGTAGCGACACATACCAGCAGGCAGCAGTCTAATTCGGCACAAACAGTTAAGCTAGCAGCATTATCCAAACACAAGAGAAGAAGAGTGCTAACTAGCGGTAGCTGGCTAGCACAGGTTAAGCGTTCCATCGAGGTGAAAAGCCTATTAACTGAAGCATGAGTGATGAGTAGCCATATTTATAAGCGGGTTGACCCTGCCCTCAATGTCACATGTAATGTGGCCTAAAGACGTGATTAAAAGTGTCTTCAGTCAGACCACGCAAGGGCGTGATATCCCACACTGTATGTGTTGTACCGAGTGAATCGACTGAAAGGAGACCAAACATTCAGTCCAAAACACTCAGCAGCCTGGCTCTGGCTTCACTTCCTGTTCAGCTGCTCTGAGATGAGAACATAGATGGGTGAGAGATGGCAGAGTACAGTTTGATAGATGGACCATTATCCAGTCATTAACAATGGGGTGTTGGCCATAACTAGATGGGGTTTTTTCCAGGAGTGTACTTTTTGATTAATTTTGATTTATTTTTGGACAAATTATTTAGTTTATTGGGTACCGTCAGTACGTGAAGAACATTTCAGCCAATGTGGCAACAAAATGGTCCAGAAAACATAACATACCCCACCTTTAATGAAACCGTCAAACAGTAATCTCTGGATGTACGCCTGTAACTAATGAACCCGATCAGAGATGGATGAGGACAACAAATAAATCGTACAACAACAGAACACACAGTTATTGCTTAAACTCTACCTGATTTAGTTAGCATTTTAGGCTTGCTAACATTAGCTAACTGTAACTTGAGTTTTAAAGGTGTATCGCTTTATCCTCAGAATCATCTCGCACATTACGAGCCCACAGTTCTGTTCGAGCTTCAACTCCGCCAGTTCCTGAGAAGGTGCCACCCACGCAGCCAGCAGATGGCAACAGCGGAAGCACTCGTAGGAAACTCAGGACACCTGTGAAGCACTCACCTGGTGAGTGACGACGACGCGCCGTAAGAGTCTGACAGGAATGAAGCGAGACTTATTTTATGAATGTTTTTGTCCCTTTTTCTGAAACGTTTTCCCTCCCAGGCTCTCCAGTCAGCCCTCCGTCTCAGAGCACGGTCCACCTGAACGGACACAGTAGCCATGTGACACCTGTGGGGAGGAGGGGGAGGAAGTTCAGGATGGACTCACCAGTGAGTCCTCCAGAAACTCCCTCCAGCCCTTCCAGACCTCGGGGTCGGCCACCGGGTAAAAAGAGAGGCCGGAAGAGCAAGCAGGAGCTGGAGGAGATGAGACAGAGGAGTTCAACCCCCGATGACGAGCATGACCACTCCACGGGAGACGAAGGCGGCGCTTCCTCGGCTCAGGAAACGTCAACGCCGTCGGATTCCGTTACTTCATTGATGCCTAGAAGACGAGGCCGTCCCCGAGCCACAAGGATTGAGGAACCTGCTCCTCCTGCTGAATCCCCCGAACCCTCACCACTAAGGAGGAGCAGCAGGAGAACCAATGAGGAGGTCACACCTCCTGTTCAGACCACCCCTCAGCGGCCAAGTCGGAAGGAATCTCTGAGGGAGGAAGCTGCGGAGGCAGCAGGGGAGGCGGCGGTGGTTTCCATGCGCACGCGTAACCAAGGACGCCGGTCAGCCTGGTACATGGAGGAGGACTCGGAGGAGGAACAGAGGCAGTTGCTGTTCGAGGACTCATCGATAACTTTTGGCACCTCCTCAAAGGGGCGTGTCCGCAAACTGACAGAGAAAGCCAAAGCCAACCTGATAGGCTGGTGAGGAGTGGATGCTGGAGAACTCAGAGGGAGCAGAAACATAGTTGTGAGTGAGTGAGTGAGTGAGTGAGTGAGTGAGTGAGTGAAAGCCTCTGACCTCACTTCCTCCTCGTCTCTGACCCTTCCTTCCTCCGGTGTTCCTCCTACATTATTGATCCATGTTGGATCTCACGGTGACGCTGTGTCCTCCTGCATGACCGTCAGACTGGGTCAAACTTTTCCGAGGCGTTCCCAAATGACTCCTCTGAGGGGATTTTACGTCCAGGATGGATTTGATCTTTTACTTCCTGCTTTTTATACAACCCAGAAGTCGTGATTGGCTTTTTGTTTTGGACGTCTTACACCTGACCCGGGTGTGTGTGTCTGCGCTAAAATACCAAAAGGCATACCGGATATTGGTACGGCAGATTTTGTGGACTATGAATTTTCTTTTTGCATGTTAATTAGAACAATTCATGATTTTTCTTCAAATTGGTTTTACTGTGAGGACGAGAAAAAGGATGCATGAGTGAATGGAGCCATTTTTATCTTTTTATATCATGTTTCAGTGCATCCTTAGCATTAGCAATACCTTGTGCCTTGATGTCTATTGTGTGTGTGTGTGGCCACTACCCTAAAACAGTACATGTGCCTGTTTGTGTATGTGTAAATGAGTGTGTGTGTGTGTGTGCCTGTTTGTGTATGTGTAAATGAGTGTGTGTGTGTGCCTGTTTGTGTATGTGTAAATGAGTGTGTGTGTGTGTGTGTGTGTGTGTGTGTTTCTAACAAAAGTGAGCGTACACTTGGATCATTGTGAAACCTTTGACAGAGATGTATTTAGACTCTGAGAAGAATTTATCCTTGCCGTAAACACACCTGTGATCCATGTTATATCGTCTTAGATAAGGTAAGGAGGGGGCGGAGCTTCTGGTGACTAGCTTTGCGATGCACTTGCCACAGACCGATTATCAATGTAGTCTTAGGCTGTTTGTAATTTTTTTTTTCAAATAAGCTTTTAAAATAATGAGACGTTTTTACACACACACACACACACACACACACACACACACACACACACACACACACACACACACACCTCTACCTGTCTCGCATGTTCTAGCACTTTCTTACTCAAACAGGAAGGAGTGGGATCAAACCGGACTGGACGAGTCTTTTTTTCACCTCTGGTTGTGTGCCTTGGCTACTCTGGCATGTTGAATCCTCTGTTTCTCCCTTTTGGGGCCCTTTTTCCCAGACTTCCTGGTTCTTTTCTATCCGTTTGGAGAACTGGACTGCAGACTCCAGAACAGAGTCGGAAACAAATAATCTGACAGGTACCGCGAGTTTACAAAGATGGCAGCACTCTTTTTGGACACGCCTAAATGTGTTGGGTTCAGAGTGGAGAACTGGATGGTAGCATCATGAATACACCCGGTTCGTCTCAGCTCCTATATTACAAACATGTATCGGTTTACTATCTTCTGTTTTGTAACGCCAAATTCTGTCTTTGGGCACTGAAATTTTAGAAAATGTGGCTTTTTGAATGTCTCTTTTTTTTTTTTCTAAAAAAAAAAAAAAGGAAAAAGTTTTATTATTTCCATAGTGGGTGTTCAGTTAAACAGTTTTCTGTCTGTGTCCCTGCCACACAGGCGGAGTTTTGGGGTGACGGGTCTGTAGGGGGACAGTTCTGTGGTGAAGGACTGAGGGTCTGTGCTCTGTCGCACACATTTGAGGAGTTCTACAATATCATGTGAACATGTAGATGTTTAACCCCAAAGTGGAATAGCCAAAACACTGACTCTTTCCTCTCAGAGGGACAAGATGTAAAAGAATGTGTTGTTATTAAAGGTTTATATCGCTGAATATTTATTTTGTGGACCGAATTTAGCCCCGAGCTTTCTTTAAAACTTCAGATGTACCCCAACAATAAATGGCTAAAATGCAGCAAGACTGACTTAAAGAAACATTTAGGATCTTCTGAGGTGGAGGTGTATTAAAAGTATGAAAAAGTTAACAGAACTACTAGCTTTTTGAACAACCTTAAGATGTGAGAAATGGAGATTAGTTCTGATTGAACAGGCAAGCTAAAGCAAGTCATAACAGGAACAATGGTTATGCGTCTTAAAACGATTCTAAAAATGTTACGAGTTTACAATCTAGGCAAATTCCACATGTCATGGCTGCTCTGGCAGAAAATATGTGGATTTGAGTTACAGTAGCTAGCTTGGCTGTTAGCTTCATTGCAAACAACCACAGAATAATGTAAATAACTACATAATGTGAAATGTATCACTATAAAGATTTAACATTTAGAATTGTAAGACACTTTGTAACTGTACCCATGGTGAATTGATGCTAGCTCTGCTGTCTGGTCATAGCTAAACGCCGTTTCTCCTAACTGAGGCTGTTCAAACAACTAAAATCTACACTGATAAATGTATAATTGCTCGTAGACCTTCCACAGAACTATCGCATTTGAAAATGCTAAAATATATCTTGTCTAAATGCACCATTGCTGAGCTTAACTCGGCAGCAGTAACTCGCCTTCCATAATCCTAATTTTCAAGTTAATCTGAATTTTTAAACCTATTTCATTTGGACAAAGTCTGAACCAGCAGGTCAGGAAATCAGGATCAGCGCTCCAAACGACAATCTGGATTATCGTTTAAATGAGACATTAATACAGCATATGTGTGTAGGTTACAGGGCTTGACAGCAACCAGCAGCTTCTGCAAAGATGCTAGATTATCCTAATGAATTATGGACAGACTATCGTTTATGTCCCCCAGTGGAAACATCCTGCAGCCAATCTCCTCATCTTCTCGCCACTTAGTCTAGAATAATCCGATGTGATGTGGAGTGTTTGTTTGTTCCACAGGAAGTGATGCTGATCTGTTCCAGCTCCATGCAGGATGAACATCAGATGTGATCATTTGGGTTTCATGAACCTCTGAATGTGTGGCAGAGCTGTGCTGCTGGTGACCTGAGCGTCAGTGTTTGGTCAGAGGTTAAATGTCGCTGTGTGTGTGTGTGTGTGTGTGTGTGTGCGTGTGTGTATGAAGTGGCTCCATGTGAGCCACCAGGAAGCCTTTTGACATGGTTGATGGAGGCATGTGACTAAAGGGGAGAATGATGTCTGTTTAATGTCACCTGATCGATTTAAGTTTTCTTTGTTAGTTTGAATACTTTTATATTTACGGTATATAAATATATAAAGGAGTTGATGCAAAAAAGCAGAAAGCTAGAATGTATGTGTAGGGGAGTACTGCTGTCCTGTTTGTTGATACCAATATTTTAAGCAAATAAACAGTTGTGTTTCCATATTTATACTTGCGGGTATTTTTTTTATTGTTTTAACCTTTGATCTGAGTTTTTGTTTGGTGTATATTTTAATTCTGCCTACAGAGCTTCGAAAGAAACAATGCAGTCGTGCATCTGTAACATCCGGCAGAGTCCGACGTGTTGCTGTGAAGTTTTGACTCGCTCTAGACATACGCCGTTGTTTGAGCCATCATATTGGAGGGTTTTCCAGAAGCGACAGCCTGTTTGAGGTCAAAGGTCAGACATTGTCCTTGAGGTTTCTCTGCAAGAGAGCAGAATGCTAGAATCCATCAGTTACAGCAAGTGGTCCTGAAGGTCAAAGCAACCCCAGACTATCCCGCTACCACCACCATGACCTCTGACCTTTACCGGACCCAACAGCCTGAAGTGCTTCAGATGTTGTTTTGGGTTCTTTTGTTGTGGAATAGCTTTAGAACGAGACGTGCTGCTTTTTGGGATCTTTTAGCTTAGTTTCTGCTGAAGTGGTTTCTTAATTCTACAGTTTGGGCAGCAATCAGTTCTGATCAAAGAAGATGAACAACTTTGTTTAACTGAGGGGCAATATTAACTTTTCCCACATACAGCCAGTTTGGTCTGGACAGATTTTTCAATCTGAATTAATAAAATCACAATTTGCAAAGTGCATTTTTATTTTACTAGGGGCATCTTTGTCTGAAATTGTTTTTATTTCTTGCTGTTCTGAAACAAAAGCATAAACAAGACATCTGTAAAGGGTGAAAACTCCTTGGATTGGTTGGAACTCATAAAAAAAGGAAAATAACATCTCAGAACTTGGTTTTGAACACATTCTGTGATGAATGTGTCCGGCTGTGACTGGGGGAGCTGAAGCGGCAGAACAAGCGGCTCTGCCCCCTGGTGGTGGGTAGGCGGAACCACAGCCGGACCTCACCAGCTCCTCCTGACGTGGCGCGTCGCTAAAGGCCCGCCCGCTCCTCCGTGGGCTGCTGTGATTGGACACGCGAGTTCTTCTGGCAAGATTTTACCGAGAAATGTAAATAGACAGGTGGCCGCGACATGTGGAGCGTTTATGTAAATAAAACAGAAGCGAAACTCGGCTCACACACTCCCAAACGCAATGTGTGACCGATAACTGAAGGGGAAACTGAATTTCACCAAGAGGTGAGATTAAAAACTTTGATTATCTGATGGCCTGACTTGTAACACCATATTTTTGTTACTTTTGCGCTTAACACTTGGTTGGACCACCTAACTTATAGGACACTGTAACTTAATTGTTATTATTACGTATTATTAATATTAGTTATGGGGTACCCTGGCCTCTGCTGCATGCGCCTGTCCACAGGTACCACCAACTGCGCGCGCAACATGCCTCAGATCAGCACCGCCGCCGCGCTCCAGATTGCGCTCCTGTTCTCCGCCGTGCCCGCGCAGTACCTGATCTCCCGGTGGAGCGGCCCCACGGCGGCGCAGCGCTACCACGCCACCACCCGGTAGGAGCCGCTCAGATCTAGGGTGTGTGCATTTGCTCTGGGATTAACGTTCTGTGTTCTAGGCTGCTTCGCACATGGAAGGAGTGGAGAACATCCTTCCTCAACCAATCCTCCGCATGGATAGACTGGACTAACCAGCAGCTCTCCAAAGTAAAGTGAGTGGATTCGGAGGATCCAGTTACAAAAATAAACATGTTTTAGTGACCTTTGACCCCAGACCACTTTCTCTGCAGAACTCTGGTTGGTCTGGAACCAAAAGAGCCAGCAGCACAAACACCTCCTGTAGGGACCATGATTTTTGACAACGACAAAGGATTCTTTGGAGGTTAGTGAGGGGGTGGGCCTGGCCTGGAGACTAAAATCACCTCTTTCACCAATCCTATAATTATATATATATATATATATATATATATATATATATATATATATATATATATATAAACTCTTTCTACTATCTTGCTTTTCTACATTTTCTGCAGGGAAACAGAAAAGCATTGCCATAACTCTGTAGTTCTCAATGAATTCCTGTCATTCCCCCATGAGGAGAACACCATCCAAATGAAATGATATTAGGACCCTAATGATATTCACTTATTAATCTGTAAACCGCTGTACGAGTTTCTGTCACCAGTGTTCTACACACCATCAGCTGATCATAAAAACATGAGCTGCAACAGCTCCAAACATTAGGCAGGTGCTTCCACTTTCCCAAGATTCATCTTGGCAGCTTCGCTCGCCCCGAGAAGCACATTTCTGCTGAGGTGTTGCAAAAACATCATGCAACGCTTTAGGGTTCATAAACAAATGATCGTGGTTACATTTGCATTTACATCTGTGTACTGAAGGAAAACAACCAAAACTGAGTGTTTTTATATTTATACAAACTACAAAATCTCAGTTTATCAGGATTTTGAGTATTTTATTTTTCGTCTATGTCCTTAACTTCGAACACTAAGATGTTGGACTGAGTGGAACAAGCCACCTGCATTCTGGAGGTGTGGATTAGAGGGATTGGACCTTTGTGTATTTTCAAATATTAGCTTTCTTTAACAGCAAGAAAAACAGTTTTATGGTCTTCTAATGTTGAGAAATGAGAGGTGGTCATATCTGTAGTCAATGACTCCGCAGCAACATTCAGTTTTAGCTCCAGACTGGTTTTGATGACAGATTTATCGTGTTTTTGTTCCAGTTTGTTGTTCCTACCTTTTTACCAGTTCACAGAAAGGGCAAAGGTCAGATTTCTGGTCATACGGGATGAAATACGAGCCTCTCTTTAATCAGACGACTCATCACAGCCGTCAGTTTGAAAACTCTTTAAATATTCAAGATAAATAAAGAAGAGTCTGTCCGTCTGTCCCTTCAGCCTCCAAGTCTGTGCGCAGCCCTCGTCCTCCATACGTCTTTCTGCGGGTCGGGGAGGTGGTGATGGAGCGGAAAGGTCACATGATCGGGGTGGTGGTGAGCTGGGACGCTGAACTGCGAGCTCCTCCGGAGTGGATCGACAGGAAGCATTCAAACTCTGAGGTGAGCAGCCTTCTTCTTCAGGAAGCCTTTGCTCCTGCAGTCCTGAAAGCAGCCGGTCTGTGTGCACGTAGGACACCACAGCAGAGAGGACGCCCCACTACAAGGTTCTGTTCAGGGGGCCTACACCCTCTTCTCTGATGGTCGCCTACTTGCCTCAAACACAACTGGAGCGCATCACAGACACGAGGGTAAGTCCTGAAGATCTCGGCGTGCACTTTCGCACATCCCAGACTCACAGTTGGGTGTTTGCAGCCGGACATTCCCACGCTGGACAACTACTTCACACATTTTGATGGGACACGGTTCATCATGCAGCCCTGGCTTAGAGAGCTTTTCCCAGAGGACGAGGATGAGGACGCCTGACCGCTCAGCATTTAAGACCTGTCCGCCGTCCTGGTTGCTGTTCCTCAGCCAGGATGTCCTTATTTCCCCTAAAGACCAAATTTTGTGTAGATCGGGGAGAAACGCCTGATCCCCGCTGTCTGGGACTCATTCTGAGAATCTTCTTCAGGCATCCGAGGACTACCGACTTGAAAATGTACAAACAGTATTTTACTTCTGCAGATTAAATAATTAAGCCTTATTTAAAAACAGAAGAAAATTTAAGCACACTTTTAAAGAAAATGCTTGAAATCATCTTTTAGCTTTTGATGTTCAAGCATCAAAAATGTGCAATAAAGTGATTTATGCAGTTCTCTGTGCTGTGTCTTCAGAGCTTTTTCCTGTTTCGGTCTCTGAAGCTGAAGGAGACGGAGACGCAGGAGGAGGCAGTGACTACGGGTATGTGAGGCGCTGAACGCTGCTCCTCCTCCTCCTCCACCTTCCACTCCCTGGTCTCCTTCTCTCTCACCAGGAGAGGAGGCCCCAGACTTTGGCCCAAGACTTGACTGATCTTGCTGGCCTTCTGCTGAGCATTTTCAACAGCGGACACACACGCACGCTGCCTACAAACACACAAACACACTCATGAGAGCCCTCAGTGTGGATCTCAGTGTTACGGAGCTGCCGCTGAGTGTTAAATACCTGATTTGACCCAAACATTCAGGACTGTGGTAGAACAGCGGTGTCCCAACGAAGACGCTCTTATCCAGCTTTTCCAGGAGGACGCTACGGATTTGTTCCATCTTCTCAAAATTGGAGAACACGACAACAACCTGTGGGAACATATTGCAAGAAACTCACTTGCAACTCTGTAAATAAGTACACTGTGTTTACACAGACGCAAATAACCCACCTCCGCATCCATGCAGTAAGTGTCAGCGTTTCGTTGAAGAAACTTCCTCACTGACGTGTCCTCCCCTCTGATCCCATGTTGTCTGAGGAATGGATTTTAATACATTGATTGCAGAAAAAAATACCCAATTAGTAGCATCAAATTGCTAATTGGCACAATATTTATTTGTAATTATGGGTCAACAGAATCATTTAGGTTTAGATTAGAGATTCTTAATTTTTGACTAATAATTTATGGCAAAAAAAATATCTATTAGAGGTTCCTCTATTCAGTTTTAGTGGTCCATAAATATTAGTTTCCTCTTTAAACACAATACAACACCTCTAAAATATGGAGAATAAATTCTTAAAATTTTATTAAAACTGTGTTAATGGTCCACATATAAAAGGGAAAATAGCAATAGCAAAATGTGCTAACAGTTAATGTTATTTAATTGTGTTTTAAACGAATTTAAATAAATTAATGATTATTATTAACAAGGCGCTGTTGAAATAAAATGTATTATTATTATTATTGATAAAATAAACTATGCGCAATGTTAATTAGCACTGGGTTCATAACCCCGCTACATTTTAAATAAAGTTTTGCGGCTTTTCCGGACAGAAACGACACTTCATTAAAAACAAGACATCGAAGTCTGCTGTAGATGTTGTGCATAAAAAAGTGCCCCTCGTCAGTGCTGTCTAAATCATCAACACCGTACGGCCCACAGATATGCCTGACTATAAAAATGCATTAATAGGACAAATATATATGTAAACATGCTTCAGTAGCATTTAAATAAACACTAGAAGTATCGTACACACATTCAGTTGCTTGTTGGCTACAGTAAATCCGGACTAGCTGTTGGGTCGGCTGCAGCTTCTCATGGACCTTGTTGGACCCAACATTGTTTACAACCGAGGCGAATAACTTTTAGATAGTGATGGGTCCAGCAACACCGACACACCGGCGCACGTGTCAAGCTCATGGGGCAAAACCTGTGTCGATCAGTGTCGATGCGTGTGTTGCTTTAAGAAAAAGTCACGTGACCAACACTGCTGCTGTGTCGCTCATTGCCGAGGCGCCAAACTGTGTTTATAAGGTATCGACTCTGCATCTGTCAACGGGATGAGTCGCCGTGAAAAAAAAATGACCATTTCCAAGATAAAACAAGACATCCCTCTTTACATCAAGAAAATGGAGCCAGAGAGGAAAAGAAAAGTTTCTGCTGTGTGGGATCATTTTGATCTTTTAACAGCAAATAAGGTACGTGTTTGTCTTTCCTTGTTTCTGCGCCTCTGTCAGAGTTGAAAACAGCAATGTGACTGACTCTCAGTGTAAATTATTTATTTAATTTAATTAGGTTAAATGTCGGATCTGCTCAGCGGAGTTGTCTTTTACAAATAAGAGCACTTCCTCAATGCTGAGACATTACAGAGTCAAGCATGAAAACGAAGAGGAAGCAAAGAACGAACACGGGTAGACCAATATAGACACTGGGCGTGCTTTGTCACAGTTGTTTTACTAATATATGTTTTATTATTTTGAAATCTAGAATCTAGGAAGATTGCTCTGGACCAAGCAGTCCTGAATTTTATTATAAAGGACCGCCAACCCCTGAGTATTGTGGAGCTTGAGGGGTTCAGGGGGTTGATTCAGGCCCTTGATCCATCTCACGCTTTGCCAACCAGAAAGGTTTGTATACACAATGTCTCAGATAGCTGCTGTTACTCATGTAATATATACAGTGCTTAACAAATGTATTTTACCATTGTCTGATTTAAGGTTTATGACACAGCAAACAAAAATAAACACTTGTGATTCAAATATCATGCATGCTTGAATAATTTCCGTCCGGTGTGTCAGCTCACATTTGGGTATAAAACTGGATTCAGTTTTAAATTCCTACCTTCTATTCAACAGGGCAAAACACAGAGAACTTCATAGCTGGATGTTTTTCTTGCTTTAATGACAGGTGGTCTAATTCATGTGTTAAGTACTAGACTGATTTGAATTTGATTCATTTTCAGACGGTTAAGGAAATGATGGCCAAAAAGCATGCAGAGGAACTCGAACGAATAAAAAGGGGAGTACAGCAAGCTGTGGCAGTGAGTATAACAGCTGACATGTGGACCTCCTTGAACATGGAGGCTTACTTAGCTCTTACCTGTCACTACATCAGTGATAATATGGAGTTGTGTACATCTGTGTTGGGAGTCAAACACTTTCCACAAAGTCACACTGCTGACAATCTGGCCCAAGTCAAAAGGGGCATGATGGATGACTGGGCCATAACAAATAAGGGAAGGTGTCTTGTGACCGACGCAGCACCAAACATGATGGCAGCAACACGAACTCTTCAAATTCGACATTCAATCTGCATTTTGCACACAAACTAAATTTAATAGTCAAAAAATCCATTGATCAGATCCCTGAAGTTTCATCCATAAGACACAAATCTAGGCAGATTGCATCATTCTTCAGATCCAGCACCTCAGCAAAAGAGAAGCTAGCTCAAGTGCAGCAACAGATGGGACGGCCCACCTTGAAACTTGTCAATGAGGTACCAACACGTTGGAACAGCACATATCAGATGCTGTCACGGCTACATGATGAGAAAGAAGCAGTGTGGGTATCTCTTGCCTCTCCAAACAGATTTAACACACTCACAGCTGATGAGCTCAACATCTTAAGGGAAGCACTTCTTGTGCTGGCCCCTTTCCATCAGGCCACAGTGGAGTTGTCCGAGGAGAGGAGAGTTTCAGGATCAAAGGTCATCCCGATGATGAAAATGCTAAATTGTGCACTTGACTCGAGCGGAACTCTTTACATCTACACACACAAGCAGCCACACGTCTCCATGACCAGCTTAGACGTCGCGTCACAGACACTGCTTCCAATCTGGAGTCATTAAGCGTGTCGACCCTATCAACACATTTAGACCCCAGATTTAAAACACTCGGATTTCGTAGTTCCTCCAAGTGTAGTGAGGCTGTCAATCGCCTGAAAAAGGAGTGTGCTGCAGTAATTGCTCGCACAACATCTGAGCCACAGCCTGGACCTTCATTAGAGCAGTTACCCACTTCAGGCAAGATGTTCAGTATTATCAGTTTATTTTCATGTTTGTTTTGTTGCTAATGTGTATTAATACAGAGTAGAAGACAAAACTAAAACTTCTTTGTATTTTTTATTATTTCAGATAATCTGTAGCAGCAGCTTGATCAAGAGGTTGGCAGACAAACCACCAACGCATCAGCTGACTCTATCATTGAGGTCCAGCGCTACTTAGCAGAGGGGAACATTTCAAGACAAGAAGATCCATTAACATACTGGGGGAACCGGAAGACATCCTACCCACACCTTTTCCACCTGGCTTTACAGTTTTTGTGTGCCCCAGCTTCTGTGCCCTGTGAACGTGTGTTTTCAAAAGCTGGTGAAATAGTGTCCAAAAAACGCAATAGACTAAATGCCAACATATTGGATAAACTTATTTTTCTTAATAAAAATTTATAAAAAAAAAAAAAAAAACTTTTGAGTCAATGGCACTGAAATGGGTAATATCACATTCACAGCACTGTCACTTTAATTGTCTCTTGGTATCATTCACAGAATATTTTGAGGTGTATATATTTTAAATTTAGAAGTTTAAAGTAAAACCATATGAAGTAGGCCTACAATAGCTTAACATGTATACAAGTATGATTAGGTCATTGAAGCAGAGTCTGTTGTGTCTCCAGTATGTTGCCTGCAAAGATGTTTGAAGTCCAGTAGGTGTCATTATAGAGCACAACAGCAGCACTGTGTCGACACAGTATCAATACTATTTGGGGAATGTGCTGAAACGCTTCATGAGGCTTCATCTACCCATCACTACTTTTAGATGTTGCCTTCAAATGTTTCAGCTTTAATCTGACCTTTTGTTTAGTTTTACCTGAGAGCCTGTAATATGTAGTCGAGTCGCCGTGTGACGCTAACGGTCACCTCACCGGCTGACTCCTTGCTGCTGGTCACACTGAACCGCATCGACGCTCGGTCGGCCGGACACGAAGCTTCCGCGGCCCCGGTGACTTGGACCTCCCGCACCTGGCCGGTCACCGCTTTCGGTTCGAGTCCCTGCTGGTTTTCTTTTATTTCTGTGAACTCAGCAGTGGGTAGAGCAGCGAAGACGCGACTCTGACTCTTCATCGTGTTGACTGCGGTAAACTTAAACTTCCCGCTGCTACGACACTGAGCAAAACGCTTCCTGTATGCTTCTTTCTTCTTCTTCTGGTGTTTTATTGGCGGTTGGCAAACAACGAATGGTGCATTACCGCCACCAACTAGTGTGGAGTGTGGTCTGGAACAGCGCTCACAAAACAAAACCAAACAGGGGAGAAAAAAAACCTCAAAGTCTCCCAAACATCCTTTTCTCTTTCAAAAACCGAAATAAAATCTGAAAACAGTCACTTTTTGAATTCTGTCTCAACAAATCAACAAGATCTAGTTTCACTTTCATCTGACTAAGATTGTGAACCATTGTCCTTCTTTCCGCCTGATACTTCTGACATTGTAATATAACATGATCTATAGTTTCGTTTTCTCCACAATAATCACATTTCCCTGTATTATGTTTCCCTAATATGAATAATGCATTGTTTAACCCAGTATGTCCAAACCTTAGTCTAGCAATGATCACCTCCTCTCTCCTACTCCTTCCAGTGTTTCTCATTTCACCTACTCTTCTTTGAATTGTATACAACCATCTTCCCCTCCTTTCCTCCTCCCATTGTTTTTTATGCTCTTGATCTCTTTTTGACAAAAGTGAATATCTAACTGAACCGATGCATTCGTTGTCGCTTCCTTAGCCATCTTATCGACTCCTTCATTTCCTCTGATTCCACAATGAGCTGGAATCCATAAAAAAACACATTTTAAGTCCCATCATGCTTATTCTATAAAGTGTTTGCTGAATCTCTATTAGTATGTCTGGTCTGCTTTCTGAATGGCTGCACTTTAATCTGGTTAATGATGAACTGGAGTCTGAACAAATAACTGAGAATAATGGTCTGTTTTCTTCCACCCATTGAACAGCTAACAGTATTGCGAGCATTTCACCTGTGTACACTGATAATCCATCACTCACCCTCTTTTTTACTCTAACATGAAACTCAGGAACAATAAAAGCTATTCCAATATGATCTGCAGTATTCTTTGATGCATCTGTATATATTTTTACAAAGTTATAATAGTGATCTATATAATCCTGTGCTGTTTGTGAGTTTAGTATGAATGACCTATCCTTATTCTTTCTCTCTAATAAAGTTAAATCAGCAGATGCCTCAGGAAGAATCCATGGTGGAATTGCAGGTAATGGAACTCTTTGACTGATTTTAAATTGATCTAATCTAAGTTCTACTGGTTTTTTGATCATCACCTATCCAAAACTTTTTGTTTCCTTCTTTTCTTTCTCCCAGCAAGGTTTTAGTAAGTCCTGTGTTGGATGATCTTCTCTCTGACCCTGAAGATTTGCCCAATAATTTAAAGCTATTTGTTCTCATCTGATTTCTATTGGCATCTCACCCATCTCTACATGCAAAGCTGCTATAGGGGTTGTTTTAAATGCTCCTGTACAGAGTCTCAGTGCCTGATTCTTCCTGTAGGCTGTTTCCGCCAAAGGAAGTTAGCTTCCTGTAAAATAAAAAGGAATATTTCGCAGTTACATTTTGTAACCACCTGTGTTAAACAAGATAAAATCAACGAGCTAAAGCAGGAATCAGCTAGCCAGAGCACTATAAACATATCAGATCACACGCCCTCTGGCGGTAAGAGAGCGCACAGCCCTACCAGTAACGAATAAAAAAATTGAGTTTTTTTTGTTTGTCTTTTCTTGTCTAACTAAACCTTTAATCTATTTACTTGTAATCTGTCATTTCACATGACTGATGGCAACATATTCTGTCTATAAATGAAAGTAGATAGAGGATGAAGAGTGTTCATTCATTCATGCATGCATTCGTTCGTTCGTTCGTTCGTTCATTCATTCATTCATTCATTCATTCATTCATTCATTCATTCAATTCAATTCAAAAATACTTCATTAATCCCAGAGGGAAATTGATTGCTGTAGTAGCTCATAATAATAATAATAATCAAGTCGTCAAAGAGTTATTGTATATTACAATGGCTGTTGGCAGGAAGGAACGAAATAAAACAAGAATGTAACATACATGACACAAGTTCTATAAATAAGATTTTAGAGTTATTGTAATATTCAGTGATTGTAACAATAAGACAGCCGTAACTCAGGAGGTAGAGAAGGTTGTTCAGTAATCAGAAGGATGTAGGATCAATCCTCAGGTCAAAACATTAATCAGCAATGCTTGGTGATATCAGACAAAACAGCTCTTTTAAGAGCCACCGCACAACCTTAGACGCAAAACAAGCACTCCAGCTTCCTGCCTCCACCTGGAAGATTACCCAGACTAGTCGGATCAAAATCTGAGCTGGCTCCGAGCTCCGATACTAGAGGTCCACGCCATCGGCAGTGCCCATCTCGACCTCCTGACTGCCTGGATCGCTTGGGGACCTTCACACAAGGGTGCGTAGACTCGGCATAAATTGTGTCGGATGGTTTTATAAACAAATCTCTAGCTGGTCAAACCATACAGCCAAATTTATTTTACAACCCAGACTTCACAATCTCTCTCAGATAGTTCAGAAAGGTTTTGCTAAAACATCTAGTTTCCATTCCATCACTTCATCTACTACATTCAGTCACTTCATCCATTACATTCTATAATTTCATTCATACCTTGTCTTGTATAACCATTCATTCAGAAAGATAGAAATAAATTCATTTATATAACTGATATACTTGACTCTGTCTGAATTAAATATGAAGTGTGTATGGTCCCTTAATATGTAAAAGAAAATACTGTCTTCTGATGATAGATGACGCGCACTTGTATAGGGTCTCTCAGAGTAATGCTTGGTTTATGCTTGACACATTTACTTTCCGCTTGGTGATGCGGCTCGCGGATGGAACGCGCTTCACAGCTTGCAGCGTTTATGGTTCATGCGGCTTGTCTCTGCGGTGAGCCAATGTTCTCCCAAACTGTAGGGGGCAGCATGGAGCTCTACAGCATGCATCCAACACTACACCATAGTAGAAGTAAAAATTACTGTTGTTTACAACATGGCATTCCAGCATTTTTTAACAGCGTCCTCGTCTTTTCCGACAGTGCGAGCTATTTCTCTCCAAGAATTATTAACATGTTGATCACGGTGAACTTTGAGAGCTGAATCATACAAATGTCTGTATTTACGAACCTCTGCCATAAATAGTTCTTGCCAGTCCACCATGTTTTTCCACGTCCGACCGTCCACGTGGTTAGAAAATTTCCTAGGTGCGCGGTGTGGAAAATTTGGGCAATGCGGAGGTGCGGTGGAGGGGTGTGGTTGTCAAAATGAGGCAATTTTGCCGCGCTGAGCTGTGCGAACCTCGCGGACGCTTCATGCATAAACCAACCTTGAGGACTTCGAAGCGCTTTACACTACAGTGTATTATTCATCCATTCACACACACACACTGATGGTGATGAGCTGTGATGTAGCCACAGCTGCCCTGGGGACACTGACAGAGATGAGGCTGCCGAGCAAAAGCGCCACCGGCCCCTCTGACCACCACCAGCAGGCAAGGTGGGTTAAGTGTCTTGCCCAAGGACACAACAGCAGAATTCTCTGTCTGGAGTCGGGATCGAACCTGCAACCTTCCGATTACTGGACAACCCGCTCAACCTGTTGATCTACTGCTGCCCCCATGATTAAACATTCAAAGATCAATCAGATAGATATTTCATATTTATATAGAGTTATCACATCTTATTGATCATTTAATACATATGTAGCTAATCCTTAATGCTACAATTATCACCAGCAGTGTGTGGATTTGTGAGTACATGAATAAAGAAAACTGCTTTTGGGTGCGTTGGAAACTGCTATAAAAATCAAAAACATTATTATTTTTTTAAATGATGGGAAGTCCACACATGCCAGCGAACCACTTTGTAATGTTGGACACATGAGGGCCCCACAGCAGGGGGCCATAGTGGGGCCACAGCAAGAAGCCCACATCTGCGGGACAGGGTACTGCCATGAAATGTGGGGCACATGTGGCCTCCACAGCAACATGAGGCCCCCACAGCAACATAAGGCCTCCACAGCAACATGAGGACCCCACAGCAACATGAGGACCCCACAGCAATATGAGGGTCCCACAGCAACATGAGGCCCCCACAGCAACATGAGCCCTCCACAGCAACATGAGCTCCTACAGCAACATGAGGCTTCCACAGCAACATAAGCCCCCCACAGCAACATGAGGCCTCCCACAGCAACACGAGGCCTCCACAGCAACATGAAGGCCCCACAGCAATGGGCCGCAGTGGGGCCATAGCAGAAAGGCCACATGTGCGGGGCCAGTGTACTGCTGTGAAAAGTGGGGCACATGAGGGCCCCGCAGTGGCCCTGTTGGGCCCTATGGCTCCACATGATAGCTCCCACATGCGCCCTATATTTGACAATGGCTGTGGGTCCCACAGTGGGCAATCCTTCATGGGTCAAATTTTTGCTCCAAGAGATACCACACTGAGCCCAAAAGAGCATGTTTGTTGGTCAATGCTTTTGTATCTGCCCTCTAGTGGATAGAAGTTGTTACTACAGTAGTCACATAAACTACTTTACTATTAAATCTCAAGAAACGTATCCTTATTGTCTGCATGAGTGCACTTAAGTGGGGAAAACGTATCACGATTTTGACAAACCGGGGCCCCCTAAGTACTTTATTTTAATTTAAATTACATTTAAAAAATACCAATTAACACTAACTACAATAAAGTAACAAAAAAATAAATCCTTCATAAAATGTGGTCTATATGTCTCTACTTTATTTGGGAAATTTAATTTGAACTTCCAACCCTCCCACATGAGATGGTACTGCCCTGCCTGGCTTTAATGTTTAATTCTGACTTTAGAAAAATATGAATTCTGATATTAAAGTCACAATTCTGATAAAAAAAAACATCTGAATTATTTTTTCTCTTTTCCCTAAACCTCCTCTGTAGACAATTTCTAAACCACTCAAGCCTGGATCATGTTAAGTCTAAACTCGCCCAGGTTTGACCAATATTGTAGTTTTCAAACTAGAGTTGATTTAAAATTCACTAGAACTTCAGCACCATCCTTTATCTTGCGTGGTTCCATAAATGAATGTCTTGTTTGG